AGGGGTCATCAATTGACAGTGCCAGAGAAATATTTAGAGAAAAGGTATGGACAACTTTGCATAATTGCATCATTTCCAAGAATTACTTCAAAGTCCTCCAAATCATTAAGTAAAGCAGAAAGAGGTGTTCTCCATTATCGTAACATCAATCAAACGCAGGTAGAGGCCTTCCTTTTCTCACAAAGTATCCTGGGGAAAAATTATGAAGGTTTACACGTCAGTCAGGGTAGACAACTCCTTCAGAGTCGTGCTTAGGAAGACCACAAGCAATTAAGACAACACAGCATACAGATGTTTTAAAACTTTTATTCAAGGTAAAACCATGATATCAGAACAAATTTCAGGAAATAGGCAATCAAGTGTTAGAGCTAGTATTCTTAGAATTATTATCGTTGTTGATAATACTTCAGAATTGTATATTTTATATATCTTCCTATATTTGCTTATGAATATTGTGGATATCTCTGGTATATTTCATAAATATATTAGGCTGTAAAATCTTCATAAACAGGTCATCTTCCAGTGTGATGATGCTAGAATTTTCATATCTGTATGTACATATTATTTTGCCACAGGTTACGTCACATGAACTGAACATCCCAATCCACATTGTGTCCTACAACTGTTGTAGTGCGGATACCATCAAGTATCTGCGGAACTTGGCCACTGATACAAATGGAAGGTATGATTTCTTCTACTAAAGGAAATGCTGATTCATGAATTCTGGGTGAGAATGCTGATAGATCACAACCAACCCATACTAGTAGTTAAAGGAGGAAAAAATCAGGTGGTCTGACATGTTGACTTGGTTAAATTTTGTGTCATTTTACCCCAGTTATATATGATTTGCTAATAATATATCTGTTCAGCTTTATCAACCTGAATTCAACCATGACTATGTGAAATTACAATTACATTGTATAGACCCAACCATCAACAAACAATACTTAACTTCTCAGAATGTCTTGTAAAAATACATCCCTATTTATACAAAATTAACAGCAAAATGTTGCGAAAACATTTGTCTATCTTGTAAATGGTATATTTGTTTCCGTTTAGAATCTTGAACCCAACATGAGAGATTCCGTTTTAAGCACTGTCTAAAGAATAACTGTCATAACACCTTCGACACGAAATCTGCAGCAGCTTGTGCCTCAGATGGAAGGTCAAGTTTGTTGGGTTTTTTAAAAAAATGTATGTATGTGATGGCAATCTTTTGTACCATGGTGTTCTGGTCTAGCTGTTCAAATCATTATCATGAAATGGTATATTGCAGATTTCATGCGTACGCATTTGTGATGGAAATGGATTCATATGAACATCTGCCTGTTGATCCCCTGACAAACAAAGCAAATATTGTTCTGAAGAAAAGGACCATAGGTGGTTTGCCTCCAGGTGTGGGTGTGAGGGAAGATGTGATCTTGGTGTTTGAGGAACTAGAAGAAGCGCGCAACATTCTGAGACAAATAACATCTTTACTGCAGAAAACCCCAGAGCCAAGACAACGATCTGGTCAGTGCAGATATGTATTACTAATGTTGTCAATGTGATGTCCATACTCTCTATTGGCAGTGTCAGTACCAGTAGGTATGATTTTAAAGGAAGCAATTTGGAGATTACCAGTATGCTTAATGTTTTCAATGTACAGATATGTAAACTGTTGATTTGACAGGCATTATTCAGTTAAGTGCCATACTACCTTAAAGTACTGACAAGTTATTATGCTCCTTAGTAAATATGGTGGCATTGATACTTTAGGGTAAAGTGCAGAAGTTGGGACCTGCCTTCACATGGTCACAGACACTTTTCCTTCAATATGTGCTTCATTTGCAAGTTTGCCAAAATACATGCGACAGAACTCTTTCTGTATTCATAAGAAACATCTTTCAAGGCAGACCTAACTGTACAATGACCACTCTATCATGAGCATGTGTTCAAAAGGTCCTCACAAAAATGTGGCACACCCACTGGCTGGGTATTTTCAGAAATACATGCAAATGGAACTTCAGATATGGTTCAGATATGTGGCAGTGTAATTCATTTATAACAATGTTTTGATAATTGTATTGTGTCTTTCTCTTAAGATTGAGTATAATTTCATAACAATGTGTTTCGGCAATACAGTAATTAGTTGTCTGGAATGTGTTACTATCTTCTGGAAGAGTAGTATGAAAGTTTCTGTGACACGTGGTGTCAAGTGTAATCTACAATTTTCAAGAACAGCTATCACCTAATCAAGCGAAAATCCCCCAAAATGCCATTTGAATTGCAACATGTCAGGAGATTCAATTATTCATGGTAAAATGACAGCCTGACAATTGTTATACAAGACAAATCTTATGGATAACAACTTCTTTATTTGTTTCTCACGATGTTTCTGGGCTAGTTCTTGCCCCTTCTTCAGGTGGATTATGACCATAGTGAACAGTACAGTATATAGTGATGTACAGTAAGCCAGAGATTTGACAATTGTTGCACCAAAACAGTCACCAAAGTAATGATAGAAAGCACTGATTATTGAATCACTGGAAATATGCTTATTTATGTGGGAAAGGCAATGAAATGTGTTGGTCATGATTTCAAGTAACTGATATACGTCAAGGAGTGTTTTGGATAAGAGCGTTATACATACGCAACATTTAAAGCCAGCTTATTTCCTATTCATTATTTGAATGACAGGGTAGGAGAACAAGATGTCTATACTATGTGTATATAGAAGGGAAGCCAGTTGAAATTAGATACATAGAAGTAAAGTCAATTGTGGTGAGTAATGTTATACATTGAAGATAGAGGTGATGGACATGACGGTACAACATGATGTCTTTAAAAGGTTTTGGAAATAATTTTAGCACCAAAATTATGTAAAGTGATTATAAGGGTATCACAGACTTAACATTTTTCGGCCTATTTTCAAAACCATTATGGCCCTATGTGAAAACCATAAGCGTTTGTTGTCAGGTTTTACATCTAGAATTGTGTTGAATGGGCGCTTTCAAAAACTTTTTTATATTTTTATCAATTTAACATTGAAATACATATGATAAAATGCCTGTATTGCATGTTTTACCCTACCTGATGCCACACAGTGCTTCAGCCTCCCTACCTTAACCTAACAGACAGTACCGGAACGGAGTGACAGAAGAAAAACTGACTAAAGTCCCGGTATCCCTAATTTATATACCTTGGTCCATGCAACTTCATATTCTTTTCTGATGTTCTGAGGACTTGCTTAAATTTTGTGTATTTTAAGTTGAGACTTCTAACCTTGCATATCCTTTCCCAGGCAGTAATCCATTCATTCAGTATGGTATATAGTCTACGTTTTGCTATATTTTCTTCAATTATGTTACATTTGAGATGACCTCTCAACTGCCTCGTGCACACTAAGATTGTGTTCGGGTGCACAGTTCAAAATGTTCTGATAATGTTTTGGTTTTGTAAATGTGTATCCATATGCTAAATGATGTGTTTCATGCAAAAGTCCAAAGTCAGGCAAGACCCTCACTTACAATGTCCGTCTAGCCGCCCAAGTTGTAACCATTACAGATAATTGCTCTCTTTGTGTAGCCAAATTGGTGTCTGTGACATTGACACTGGTGTATTTACCTCTGGCATCTGCTCTTCGGAAACCTTTGATTAATGGCTAGAGTGGGCAAGGAGGCTGACTTTGTGTGCTGGCAATTAGGTGCCTGACTCTGAGGGCGTGGGTTCAAATCACGAATGGGACTCAACCCAACGAAAGTAAAGCATCTGTACTTTACTGAGAAAGTGTAATCCCAAATATGACATGTGTTACATTTGACCACTTTCTAAATGCCATCATGTACTCAAAGCATTTACTATATCCCAGATCCTACTCTGGATGGCAACCTACCGGAGAGTGCCCAGTAACAGCTTGGAATGGTACTTGCATAGGACTGCCGCATTTCATTGTGAATGCAGGCATGTCTGGATATCCTGTCAAAAACAATCAGAGAAAGATATTTCCTTGAACACAGTGGAGGTCTGGGCGAGAAGACCAGTCACCCACTTATGGATCCCAATGGACACACAACATTTGAGCCATTGCTTCATTCTTAGCATCATGTCAGCTTGCCAGTGGGCATCTTTGAACACTTTTACATCAACAGATACTAGCCTTCCCATGTTATCCTTACTGTAACCTGTCATCTCTGAAATCTTCATGACCAGCTTTGAAGAATCTCTAAAGGCACATGACCCCCCACCCAGGTGTAGAAAGGTTGATGACAGCTTCACAAATCTTGTAGAATACTGACATCCTAAATACTCTTCTTGACATCACCTCAGTCTACCACCAGACGACACATTCATATAAGTACATCCACTACCTGTCTATCAGCCAAGTCCATTTTCAACCCCAGCAAGTTCAAACACCTCCCACAAAGCACATCACCCTTAAATAGCCCACCTAGAGAACCTAGTCAGGACCTATCAGCCGCTGCATCGCCATACTTCTGAAGAAAATTGCCAGCATCAACATCACCTCTTCATTAGACGTCAACTGTCATTTTCATCAATTCCCTCTTGATTGATCACATTGAACAATCTTGTGATAACTGACTTCATTAAAACGAATCTAAATATAACTGGCTTCCTTTTTATGTGTATGTATGTCATTTTGTTCTTCCCTATCATTTTCCTGATTATAAGACACATAGCCCTTAAATATTGTGTATGTATAATGAAGATGTTGTTATTCATAATACACCTTTTCATGATTACATTTAAGTTCAAAATGCCTGTAAAGACTCATATGAAGCCTATTATCACCAAACCTTTAGTTTCATCAATTAAGTTCTTTCTTGACCCCTCGATCTCTTATTGTGCATGGATGGCTTTTGAATGAGCACCACCATTTGCCACTTAATGCTGTAGGTATGCGAATACAGGACTTTACTTCATGTCTATTTACCATTAAATAACCAAGCAACTCATGTTTAATTATCTTTTAGAACACATGTCCACTGACAGAGACCTCGCCCTAGAGAAGAATGAGCAAAGCATAAGCTCAGCAGAGTGGATCAAACGATTTGGATTGGAGGCCCAAAACTTGGATTGTATGACATTTTGTCTGGTGTTGCCTTTAAACACCAAGATGGTGTGGTTGAGATCATGGAGAAGCCACCCAATGAGTCACAAACAGATGCCGTAAGTATCACGCTATGGCTCTTTTTGGTAAAAGTCAAATCTTTATGTATTTCTACAAAGTTTTGTATGTGAATATTTCCACATGAAAGATACCGGTAACCATGTATACTGATTAGTAGTGAGGTCACATATCTGACTTATATTTATCTGACACAGGTTTCCTGACAATTACTTTTAACAAATGTGGAGGGTGATATGTTGAACGGTCAGGTTTGATAACGTAAAAGATTGGGGAACAGCATTCATCTTGTACTTGTGTTTATGGTGCCAAACTGGGTGTCCTCAGCAGTGAAACTTGAGCCAGGATAACCCTCATTGTCTGACCTCATGGAATGTCTTGAAATATTGAATGTGGATCACTTTGTGGAGTCAATTAATAATCAGATGCAGGGCAGCTGATACACCAGTTAACCATGTCTTTTAATGAAAATAATCATACTTCATTGATGTTATGAACAAAAATATGATATCTGCTTTTGTATTGGCTGCCATTTTGTGTGTTAGACTGTTGGTAATCTGAAGTAAGGAACTGTGTTGTATGGTTCAAAGTATATTTTCATTCATACCAACTTCTGAATGCTATTGAAATCACTTTTATTTAACAGTGCATTTGTAGCGAATAACACATACAATAATTCCAGACATCACAGGATTCTTTCGATATGTTGTCAATACTGGGACCTCACACCTGATGTATTTTGTAACAAATTTTATTTCTCTTCATCGTCAGGCAGGCAAGCTTCTGACATGTGAGAAAGCATTATTGATAATACATGTTCAGAGCCATTACATTCCATTATTTCTAGATAGCCTTTACAGCTCTGGCCAACTATCCATATTAAGTACAGCCCCTAAATGCATAGTTGTGCTTGTGTGTCATCAGTGTTAAGGGGCTTTGGGAGTTAAATGGCGCCAGTACATCAGCCACCATTTGTTGGCAGTGTTTCCAGCACTCTGCCAGTACACCACCATGTATCCCACCACAACTGGCTGTGAGCACCACGCCAACCACATATCCTCATATCCTGCAGGCACAGTACTCGCCATACCAGTACTCTGCCAGTACACCACCATGTATCCCACCACAACTGGCTGTGAGCACCACGCCAACCACATATCCTCATATCCTGCAGGCACAGTACTCGCCATACCAGTACTCTGCCAGTACACCACCATGTATCCCATCACAACTGGCTGTGAGCACCACACCAACCACATATCCTCATATCCTGCAGGCACAGTACTTTCGCCATACCAGTACTCTGCCAGTACACCACCATGTATCCCACCACAACTGGCTGTGAGCACCACACCAACCACATATCCTCATATCCTGCAGGCACAGTACTCGCCATACCAGTACTCTGCCAGTACACCACCATGTATCCCACCACAACTGGCTGTGAGCACCACGCCAACCACATATCCTCATATCCTGCAGGCACAGTACTCGCCATACCAGTACTCTGCCAGTACACCACCATGTATCCCACCACAACTGGCTGTGAGCACCACGCCAACCACATATCCTCATATCCTGCAGGCACAGTACTCGCTATAGCAGTACTCTGCCAGTACACCACCATGTATCCCACCACAACTGGCTGTGAGCACCCACCAACCACATATCCTCATATCCTGCAGGCACAGTACTCGCCATACCAGTACTCTGCCAGTACACCACCATGTATCCCACCACAACTGGCTGTGAGCACCACACCAACCACATATCCTCATATCCTGCAGGCACAGTACTCGCCATACCAGTACTCTGCCAGTACACCACCATGTATCCCACCACAACTGGCTGTGAGCACCACGCCAACCACATATCCTCATATCCTGCAGGCACAGTACTTCGCCATACCAGTACTCTGCCAGTACACCACCATGTATCCCACCACAACTGGCTGTGAGCACCCACCAACCACATATCCTCATATCCTGCAGGCACAGTACTCGCCATACCAGTACTCTGCCAGTACACCACCATGTATCCCACCACAACTGGCTGTGAGCACCACGCCAACCACATATCCTCATATCCTGCAGGCACAGTACTCGCCATACCAGTACTCTGCCAGTACACCACCATGTATCCCACCACAACTGGCTGTGAGCACCACGCCAACCACATATCCTCATATCCTGCAGGCACAGTACTCGCCATACCAGTACTCTGCCAGTACACCACCATGTATCCCACCACAACTGGCTGTGAGCACCACGCCAACCACATATCCTCATATCCTGCAGGCGCAGTACTCGCTATACCAGTACTCAGCCAGCTTTTACCAATGTATATGAGGAAAAGTTTAAAAAAGATGCACTAACCCAGACATTCATCACAGAATGCCAAGGGCTGACCTGGTTGACCTGTCCAGACATCCCCTGAACAGTCTGTTCACCTACAACAGCATCTTTGCTGTGACAAATAGGCACTGATGGGAACAGCAACAGAATTATTTCATTGACCTTGAATAACAGGCCAAGCAAGAAGTCTCAATGCTTCTCTAGTCCAGAAGGGTCAGGATTCAACCAGAGAGGAATTTACTTCAAGCCATCTCCCAAGTGGCCAAAACTATAGGGTAGGGAACATGAGACAACACACTCATTTTATCCGTGAGAAAGAGTGTCAGACAGCACAAACCAAGGCATGAATATGCAAGACAAAATGGACATTTAAGGTACATAGGACTCTTGTCTTTGATGGTAAATGCCATTGGTTTTATTTTCTATCTCAAGTTCAAGGCTTTTGCCAGATGGGAGAACTAGGGCTCTGAGGAGTTACAGGGTCAGTACTTCTGCATGAAGAATGAAGCAAGTGAATACTGTTCTTTATTTTTCTTCCATAATCCCAATATTCCATGCAAGGACTTTGTAAGGAAATTTGTGGGAAAAGCACATAAAGAGTAATCCCCCAAAAGGTCAGAACAGCTCATGCTCATACAGACCCTGAAGCAAATGTATCGAAGAAAGCCTACGCAAGTCTATCAAATGTGGCAGGTCTAGATTTCTACAGATTCTGAAAATGAAGAAAGTCTCAGGGCCCCCTTTCATTATATATTTTTTTTTTTTACTATGAACTTTTTTCAGTAAAATATGTTCATTTCAGAGACTAGCAGTTAGTCTACTCACGCCCATAATGACTATGATTTTGACAAGTTCATCAAGATCATTATCCAGATCAAATTTACATCATTTTTTGTCATGATACTTACTAAGCTGCCTATAGGAAACTGCACACTCTCCACTGCACCATTAATGGATGCCAATGTCAACAAAAAAGACTGGATCTTCTGTTGAAGCTTTGTATACTTTTGCCACCCTTAAAGAGGTGAAAGACAAGGATGTAACGATGAAACCAGTCCTCATCTCATCCATCAAAGGATTATCGGTTGGTCTCCAAGAAGGGGAGCCCATCACAGGAAACATTAAGGTTTTGAAAGGGTCCAGTGGAGGAGACGACCTGGACTAAGAGATACCCAAGTCAGAATCCCCATAGCTGTTGATTAGGTTTTGCTATGTTTGTGACAGGATCATATATTTTGTTATTGTACAGTTGAAAGCTAGCAACCTTACATTAACTTGCACCTTCGACAGCTTAGCCATTGGCAACCATCCAATATTGAACAGGCTCATATAGTATTCCACTCAGAAGACGTTCAAATCATATTTAATCAGTAACATGATGTCTAAAATATGGTTAAAAACAATTATTATGATAATATCAACTGTATAAAGTAGTTAATTCAAGTAAATGTATCACATACTCAGGGATAAATCTACCCCCGCGTCCCGCGTCTCTGACGCAACAAATTCTGACAGGACTCATATTTTTTTTACATGTGCGTCCTCTTTGACGCAAGCTTTTGATGAAACACTAATGTTTATTTTTGTGGAGAGGCAATATCAAAGTATACATGGCTAAATCTTAGATTAACTTCCATTCTCAAATAATTGACGTGAGCTAATAAGTACACATTATAAGCTTTAGTCAGTAGCTGAACAACTGTTAAATCTATCTGCATGTAATTTGAAAGTGAAAGTGGCATTTGACAGGTTAAAGTTCTGCTGAGATAGAATGTCATTCTGGAAAAGTCCTGGAAAAGTAATCATATAAATGAATCATTTCATTTATAATTATGATGACATTTATGATATAATTCGTTCAATGTTAATAGTTAAAGTAAGACAGTTACTATTTGTGTTCATACTTGTTAAAGTGGCTTCCAGTTGGCATATTTCTTTTGATGTAATTTGTTTTTGAATCACTGAACAGAGTGAAGAAATAAAACGTAACTTTGGTTGGAATTGTAGAACTTCATTCACAAAATATTACAGTGAAATTACATTGGTCTGGCTAGTAACTTTTTTATTTTTCTAGTAAAAGAAAACATTTGCTTGTCAAAGGTCATGTAGAGCCCTGCTGTTATTTTTATAATATAGCAGTTGACATGCCGCCCAGATAGATACTGTCAGAAAACACAAAGTTAGGACATTTCAGTCAGGTTGGCCTGATACTCATCGGTTATGGCTGACTTATAACAGGGAAGGTGATTTAATATTTTGTACTATTTAATAACTATGTACTGAAAATGGTATGACACAAGATGCTAAATGCAGAAATTTTTAAAATATAACTTTGACCAGACATCTCATCATAATGATAATAAACTGTCCGTTCAGGCTCCAAAACTTTGTGATGATTTCCAGGTTGCAACTGCACGTATGTATGAAAAACAAGACAAAGCAGCTGTCGCCTTGATGAAATCTGTTCTTTGGTTAGCTTGTGAAATCATCCCACTGACTAAGATTAAACGTTTTGTTGACTTTTTATAAAAATATGAAAAGACATTGAAATTCTCAAGGAAGGTAAAATCAACTATGATTCTCCAACCACTGCCAGTGATCTGTTAACATCTGTGTTTGATGTGATAGGGTATGAACTACAAGTTAAAATGGAAGAGTCTCCATTTGTTACGATTTAGGTACTACCAGCTCTGTTCTGTGAAATATCCCAGACCGGTCAGACTCACCTGTGCAACCTATAGTAACAATAAACCAGTTTGAATAATATTGGTGGCATTAAGTTTTGTTAGGGACTCATAAAAGTTCTGAGGGACTCATAGTTATTCAGCTCAGTGAGTCCCGGGACTCAGGCAGTTGAATTTGTAGATTTATCACTGCATACTGAATGATTATTCTACTGGATGAATTTCAAGAGGTAAATGGTCTAAGTCATCTCATCAAAAGAATATGATGCATTCTGAAAGATAGGATATGAAGATTGCTGTGAACTATTTAGGGGTGTACTACAGGCAGAACCTGCCTTTCCTCCAACCTATTCTAGCAGTGATGTAAGAGAAGTAGAGTATTCATAAGAATAATCAATCAGTAGTTATCATTGGTTACAATTCTAAGAATACCACCTCTATCCCATCAGTAGTGCTCCCTCTCACCTCCCTAATCACCTGTCTCTTGTTGATGTATGTTGGAAAGAAGTGAGGTTTTAATAGTTTTTTTCAAGGACGCAAACTGAGAGGAAAACTAGTTATGATAAACTGACTGTGAATAGGAGGTCTGTTGAAGATCTGAATGTTTGGTTATAGTGTGAGTGCAGCCAAAATAGAATATATATATGGCAATAGAGTTAGTATTCTTAGAATTATTTACAATGATAAATTTTGGTGGATTTCTTGCCTCAATCTTGCCATAGACTATGGAAAGCAAACTTTTCTAAATGAACAAAATAAGAATGACTTTTTCTTCACAGTGGACGTTTACTCTTGATTCTCTGATACAACTGACATTGATTTGGGTAATACATCTTGAGATTTCTGCAGCACTAGTTTTATCATTGTATTATCATGTGATGATTATTTGCTTCAACTTTCCGTACAAATTTATTTTAAGGTATTCCGGACAAAGCTGGTGAATGCCCGGTATTGTGACCAATTCCCCATTGTGCGGTGGCGTGATGGACAGGTTGTGCATGTACAAGTGACACCAGATGTTCACAGACATTATGAACAAAGAATGGAGGTGGAACTACAAAAGATCCAACAGAGGTAAGATAAAATTTAGTTTGAAAAGTTTGTGTTCTAAATATAATGGCATACATAATAAGAGAGTGAGAATCATACCTATTTGGCCAGATGCTGGTATGATGAACATTCACTCCAGCAGATGTGTGCAGCTTCAGCAAACATATTTTAGGATGATTTGCTAGACACATATTGTTACTAACTGAAAGCAAGTAAGGGGATGCTGAGTATCTCCAGTTTTCTGTCTGTCTTACTTTTCAACATACTGCCATGAAGTTGGACACAAATATTACGATAATTCAATATATTTGCATTATTTTCTAAAAATGGTCTTTAGCAGAGTTCTCAGTGTCATGTGCACCAAATATTGTTAAAAACAACTTTACTTAAAGGCACAAGTTATTTTTACTCACAAAGTTTGGTGCTCTTGGATTTGAGTGCTGCATTTGACATAGTGGACCACGCGAAGCTGCTTCACACGCAGGAACAACAGGCTGGAATCTGAGGTCCTGCATTATCATAGTTCTATCATATTTGATTGATAGAAGTCAGGCAGTGTTGGTGGTAGAAAACGCTCTAGCAAGGCTGTCCTTGAAAATGATCATAGATAGAAAGATCAATATTTGCTCTGCTCAAGTTTTCTATACTTGTGAAAGACCTAGGCATCAGGATTGATTCAGGTCTCTCCATAGAAGCGTAAGTTGACTGACTCTAAAACTCCTGGCTCTGTACATGATTGGAAACAAATGAAAGAAAATTCTACAGAAAGGTGACTTGTCTCACCTGCAGTAAGATTGCTGCGATTGACTGCTTGCAGGTATCAACAAAGCTCAGCTCCAGCTGTTCGCATTGTTTCTTACCAAGTCAGATCACATACCGTATATGACCTGTCTATAAGCCGAATTTTGAGGACCAAAAAAAGCAGTCTGTAGAAGGGGGTCGTCTTATCCATGGGTTACGCTTTCGTCAAACTTTTTTCCAGGGGTAAGAAAACAACATCGTATCACTTCGCGTGAACGAACAACAGAAGACGACTTTGTCAGTAGAGACGTCAAATTTGCAATTAAACATCACTAGACAAGATTATCTACCTTTTAAGTTATAAGTTGTTTTTGCTGGGCATTGTATTATTTGCAGGGATTAAGATTACCGTGTGTATCTGAGCCGAAAATAGGAATCAGCTGTGCACACGTTTCCCGGTGAACAAGTTCAAACATGCACAATAATATAACGGGACAAATTCTGACGCAGTCATCAGTAAAATATAATACAGAATACTATTATTTAACCCAAACATATAATCAACACTAAGGTTATACGGACCCTCATGAACGTGGTAAGCAGAAGTTGTACTCACATGGAATGGGGTAAAATACGGAGGCCATTTAAATTCACACATTTTTACCGATGTTACTGTAAACTAGCAGTCAATGGAAAACGAGGCAGTAATCAGTTTGTGATTGTTGAATGGGGTAAAATAAGCAAGCCAGTTTGTTGCTACAATAAATATGTTATTTAGAGAAGCAAAATATATTATGCATTTTCTGTCAACTACACTTCGTTTCGATCCGTGAGTAGACACAATATATATGACTGTGAATTCTTTGAATAATGTGGACCAAAGTTATAATTATTGGTAACTGCCAGTTGTCTGTGGTCTGTGTTTGCCGCGATTAGGACCCCATCGCGGGGGATCGACTTATGCACGAAACATACCATTTTGACACTGATTTTAAGGGTCAAGTTTGGGGGTCGTCTTATCCATGGGGTCGTCTTATAGACGGTCATATATGGTAACTCCTGTTCTCAAATCTCAGCAGTGACTTCCTATTGCATCATTAATTGACTCTAATGTCCCCTGTCTCTACAAGTGTTCACACAATCTTGCATCAGCTTATCTCACTGATCTCATCACAGAATACTCTCCAACAAGAACTCTTCAATTCCAGAACCAGCTCTTGTTAAGAGTCCCCAAGATACACTTAGCTTCATTTGGTAAGCGATTATTCATGTGTGGAGCTTGAGTCTCTTGAATTCTCCACCTGTCAACATTTAACTTTCAGATTCGCTGACAGCATTCAAATCCCGCTTAAAAACTCATCTTTTCACCAGGAATGATTACTGACCCTTCTAAACCCACCATGAACATTTTGTATATATCCTCTCAGTTTTTTGTAGCACCTTTCATTACAAATGTCCATTGTTATTATTATTAAACAGCAAACAGACTCTGTGTTAAACTTTTACTGCCCCAAATCAGAGATCATTAGTCTGTATATGGTCTCTGCCCAAATGAAATGTTATGACAGAGAAAGCTATGGTAGCAATCAACAGTCCATCAAAAAAGCACACCTGGCATAAGCTAATGTGTGTGAACCTCCCATCCTGCACATCACTCCGATGGAAACATATCAACTAAACAACTCTTGTTCCGTATACCGCCAGAATCTGTGCTCAGTCCAGTTCTTTTTACTCTGTACATCTCCCCACTTGTTGACATCTTACAATCTTGGATTCCATTTATGTGCAGATGATGCACAAGTATATCGATACCGCTATCCACGTGGTTCAGGACTGTAAATCACAGCAAAAGATGGATGATGACTCATTATCTCAAATTGAATGAGGATAGAAGCAAACTTCTGATAATATGTCCTAAATATATCAGCTACACACATCCAGTCCCCCAGTTTCAGATCAACAACTGTGTGGTCCCTCCAACATCAACTGCATGCATCTTGGACTCACAGCTCAACCTTGAAGAGCATGTCAATACTGTATATGTTACAGGGAATGTGTGAAACCAGGGATTTCACGTAATCCCTGAAAGATTCAGTGATTTCGTGAAATCACTGTGACCCCCAGGGATTTCATGTATTCCCTAAAATTTCAAGGGATTTCATGAAATTACTGATTTTCATGGTGTTCCATTACACACATTCCCTGTTAGGATATTAGTGAATGTGTGAAGTTAATGTTTGTAGCTTAAAACTTTACTGTTGAGTCTCATTTCATCGCTTAGGTCTTAGGACTTAAGAATTTTGACTATTTACTGATAACACTAAGTCAAGCTAAGAGAGGGAAATCACCGATAATATTCCAGTTGATGTTTTAACAAATGACATCTGTATAGATTATCTTCATAAACTGTTTTCTACATGTTATGAGACTGGTCATGTACCCTCCAACTGGGCCCAGGGCCCTACACCTAAGTCTGTACCTGACAAACCGAGAGACCCAGTGTCTTATCGCGGCATTACCTTAGTGCATCTAATTGTTATGATTAATAATTTGTCGTTGGGTGTTGACATAACAATACCAACATTGTGTATCAATATTCCTTTTGTAGTTTCAAAAGTTACAGAGGTTGTTTTTAGTGATTTCGTATATAAATGGAAACAGCACCTTTTACAAGTTGGTAGTTTAACTGGTAAGGGAGGTAATAAGTTACACACGTACTGTACTTTAAATTTGGATTTTTGCAGTGATTTTTATGTTAATTGTAATGTCTCTCTCCATGAGAAAAGCACTAGATTTGTTTAGATGTGCAGTAGCACCGCTTAGAATCGAAACTGTAAAGATTTTATTGAAGATGAGTGTCATGTTTTATTGCATTGTCCTTTGTATGCTGATGAGCGATTGCAACTTTTATCTAAATGTACAAGTCTTTTAGATGTTTTTTTAAAAATCTGGGTATGTTTAAAAAGTTAGTTTTCTTCTAGCTTGTCCAGGTGTATCGTTTTTATCTGTCAAAACCTGCCTTAATATTCTTAAAAAGCGTACTGCAAATTTGTATATATCTTCTTAATGTAACTTGTACCCTTATTATTGCATTTTTAATATTCATATATTATACTCTGTATATTGTGGCACAAATGTCTCTCATAATTCCATACGGAATGGCTCAACATTTTACAGTGATATAGTATCATTCGTTTTCTTTATTGAAAATAGACGTTTAAGTTTAAACAGACTAGGCCATTCATAGAAATAACTTGGAATATACATCATCTCGCTGTTGAAGAAGAGCTTTGGGATATGGGTTTGCGAAGGAAAAGATATTTTTCAAAACACATATTTCATGTTTGTCCTCAGCGTCTTCTTTCTACGAATAATGTGAATATGAATAACCCTAAATAAACATGAAGCAAAGCACTTTCCATGAAATTTGATGTCTCTTATCATGTGTGGCACATGCACTTTGTGCAGAATGAACTTACTCGCTTTTTGCATGCTTTTTGACACCTGAAGTTCACAACCTGATATTGAACATTAAGAATGGTTGTTTATTCTCAACCCTTTGAATGTTGTGGAAAACATGTTAATTTCAACCTATACTGCAAGTACATCATGCCACGGGTTACAGAAAATCAGTGTCTCCTTGCCGTGGGTATGCAGGAGACTGGCATGGGCCCAAATGAAGTGGCCAGACATTTTGGTTTCCATCGAAACACAATCTCATCTGTATGGAGACCTTCTCAACATAATGGGAACATAACAGATTTACCATGGACCGGCCATCCATGTGAGATGTCACATCAGCAAGACAACCACATTCAGCTGAACCATCTAAGGAATCAACTGCCAGTTTGATTGCTCTCACCATTCCTGGCTTACAGCCAATCAGTACCAGGACTTTACACAACCATCGTCTTGTCTGGTGCAGACAGCATCTATGGTACAGGAGACAAGATTGGGATGGTGTTTTGTTCACTGACGAGTCGACATTTAATCTGGACAGCTCCGATGGTAGGGCAAGGGTGTACCGAAGGCAAGGTGAATGGTTTGCTGACGCATGCTTTGTTCAAAGTCAACAGTTTGGTGGCGGAAGCGTTATGGTATTGGGAGGCAACACATATGATTGTCAGACACATCTTGTCATTGTCAATGGCAATCTGACAGGTCTGCGTTAAAGGGAAGCCATATGTGGCCATTTATTCAAGGACAGAGACGTCTGTCCACATGACAGATTTCCTGAGACAGCAGAACATTCCGGGATTCCCTTGGCCAGCTGTTTCTCCGGACCTGCAGGCTTGGGATGAAATGGAGGGAGATTTACGTCAAGCCCAGAATCAGCCATTGACGCTTGCTAAATTGTGACAAGCATTTGTTCAGACATGGATCAACATTCCCCAAGTTTTCTTCAATCGCTTAGTGTCATCTATGCATCATCATTGTTAAGCCTGCATCAATGGCAATGGTGGACACACTCATGATCGTTCACAACCAGAGAGTTTTTGTTAATTATTACTGAGGTTGTTTTTTAAGCAACCCATCACTATTTGAGACCCTGATCTAAAGTTAATTTCAGCAATCAAAGCCAGCCTAGTTTTGAACTGTCCATATCATGGTGGTTCTCATCCTACAGACCAGGGTAATCTGTGGCCCAAAATCCCACCACGGGATAAGAAAGGATAAGTATAAAAATTGAAAATTTGAACTATGAATTGTCTATTTATAATTCTTACCCTGTCACATGATGGATTCCCTCTGTACTAACCCCACCATGCAGATTTCTGGGTTGGTTATGGCTTCTTGATAATGTCAGTTGGGAATCATGTGGTCAACCAGCCATTGCATGAGCCTACAGTGACTGCCTATAACCTTAGATGGAGCTGGGGTGTATCCGGACAAGGTGTTACAAGAGTCTGAAAAATTTGTTTCAGGTCATTCCATTGCAGGATCTTGAAAACTGGAGAAAGTGCTTAATGTTAGTTGAGATAAGTATTATTAATATAGTTAAAATTTTCAAATATTACTTCTACTTTGCTATTTTTTTAGAATTGACTGGCTGAAGCAAGGGAGCAGGGAGCTGTTTGGAACTGTTCTGGAGGATAACATCTATATTCTGTTGGACTGCTCAGCATCCATGCAGAATAGCATACATTTTGTGCAGGAGAAGCTGTTCATGTTGATGAAGGTGGGTGAAGGACAGAAAGAAATGATTCAGTGTAACATGAATTGAAATTATAAACATGATGATTGTGTCACAGTGAGGTATTTTAATTTATGAAAGCAAAATATAAACACTTACCTATCCTGAAGAGGTACACTGTGACTTACCGCATGGCATGATTTCTGGGCAGATCAGCTGCAGTAGGGTTGAATGGTGATATAGCATAGCATTACACTAACCCTTTAAGATGTCAGTCAATGCTGTCAGGAAATGCGTCAGGAAATGTCGGAAGAAGATTGGTTGTTGATGGAATAGCTATGACTTAGTGTTAAAATTTCTTTTGATTTTCTGTATGTATTCTGTGAATCCACTGGAATAAGGCTACCATAATCCAGAGGTAAGTTTACTAACAATTACTAACAATACATGTAATTGTTCCTTTTTGTATGGAACAATATGATCTGTCAACCTGCGACCTCTGGTTTCCTTGCTACAGCAACTAAATGGAAGCCAGATGCAAATATTTTTTTTACAATAAATTACTACCAACAAATGTTTATGAATAATGTCAGTGACCTTGTTTGAGGAATGTATCAATCAATATCCTCACAAAGGAACAGTACCCCACATATCACATACTGTACAAAGAATCATTTTCCATGTGTGTTTGTAACAATCAGATATTTTATGATTGTGTATGAAGTGTTCTGGGATATTATGACCTATGTGCATTTTGAACTGATCCTCTATGTTTATTTCAGGTGTTTCACATTGGTGTCACATTGGCACACACGAAAACTACGTTTTTAAAGACATACACTGTATTTGACATATTTAGAGCCCCCTCTCTAATAAACACCCCTATTGGAAATAGTGCTATCAGGAGCATTCAGAGTTGCAATAACACGTCTTGTTTACTGAAGGTATCCTGGAATTTCTTCATAAACACTGACAATGAAAAGTTTACTTGGGATGCCAGTATGTTGATAGCATTGTTGGTAAGTGGCATTTGCCAATAAAAACCAATGTTACATCATTTAGATATTGACCAATCAAATGTATCATAATAAACACACCTACTCAAACATGGACGACAGACAGGCCATGCACACATAAAGGTAAGGGGGCATAACTCCGCTATGCTTAACACTAGATCATTGTAACTCAGATCACTGGGAGAGAATTTGCTGTGGATAAGGACACTGTATTTTCATTCATGACGTTTGGTTCATGGTGAACCAAACAATTCCAATACAAAAATACCCACTGTAACCGTATACGTTTTGGTAGTGTCACAACTTATAAGAAATGATGATGTCTCATTACATGAGAAAATATGTAATAGTGATTTTGATGGCTCTATACAATATGTAAATTAGTTCTTAGATTCTCATATTCTCCTGTTTGAGTAGATGTATTTTGACTAGTGTTGCACCATTATTAACAGAGTACTAGTCATTTCTTCAAATGTAAGGAAATTACTAAAAAAAAACACCATATTAGTTGATGTTAAAGCTGTTTTATGTATTTTGCGACGTCGAGAAAAGATGACATTGGTATGTTGATTAGTATATATTGTACCTCATTTATATCAATTGTATAACAGTTCTCGTGTCTATGTCAGAATTTAACCCTTTTTCGACAGAAAATAAAATGACTGATTGTACCATTGAAATAATGTCCTGAATAGATAAACAATTAAACGGGTTGACTGTGAATCTTAATGGTACAACTTGTGCACCTGTTTGACATCTTAATGTGACATAAATGAAAAAGAATATTTCACAACACCTGAATATATTATTTAGGATAAGACTTTTCTTTGTTTATGATTATGTGGCTATTTCTTCTTAAGTATACAAACAAAGATGCAAAAAGATAGCTCTTTTGTATGGAACTGTCAGGATAATAGTGTAAGGTTTGTCCAAATTAAGACATGACATTGTTTATTCATTTTTTTACAGTTTTTGTAGAAATATAGTTACAGTATATATCCTGTCATCACAATATGTTTTAATCAAATATGAATTGATTACATTATCCAAAAGAACGATAGTGAATCGTAGAAGGTTTGTGACAAACGCGCACCTGGTCAATCATTATACATCACTATTTTGCCAATAAAATGAAAGGAAAAAAATCCCAAACAATTCCTTTAATATATGTGTGCATATACATTTCATAAACTATATAAATCATTTTCATTAATATGGTCAGCTTTACTTATAAGGTTAAGTTAATCGCTTGGTGTTCATTAACCTGTTCATATAAAACTGTAATATTTGTCCCAATATCGAATATTGCAGAGCATAGGAACTAAAGTACATGTTGCAGTTATGCCTACGTTTAGGTGAGGTGAGGTGAAATTGGGTTTAACGTCGTGCTTGAGAATATTTCGCTCATATGACAACGTGCATGCGTGTGTATGTGTATGTGCGGCTGCTTGTACTAGCCCAGACTTAAGCTGGTTTTATAGTGCTAGCCCACTGAGATACCATGCCGCAGTGACGCATGAATACCCCACTCAGACACATTATACTGACTCCGAACCAACCAGTCCTTGTTGTACCCATTAATGCCAAGCGCCAGGCAGGGACCAACAAGTACCATATTTTAACGTCTTTTGGTATTGAAGCGGTCGGGGACCTTCCGCTCTCCGGGCGGACGCTCTAACCACTACAACAGGGAGGCGGTCAGCTTCATGGGTTATATATGCCACTTTTAGAGATGAAGCTAGACCAAGATATTTTTATGCATTATGCTCTCAGGGCCATTCTCAAACTTTAAGAAGATCTTACTCCGGTGTAGATGTCGGCTCAGGCATAGGTGTCAGCTCAGTGGCTTGCTTGTGTATTCTCAAAGAGATGTCTTGATAATCAGAAGTGACATCATACAAATTTGAAGTGGGGTCACAGCAACTGGGTATGACAGCATATTAGTTAGGGACTAATGTACAATGTGAATGACCCCCTTAAAATTAAATACAATTCGGTAAAGTGACCCCCCCACCTGCATGTCACATACAAAATCAATTACCCCCTTCTCCCATAAGTTTTTAGTATATTTTTTATATATCTTTATAATTACGTACAAATTTGTGGACACCCCTACCCACCCAGTTCATGTGAACAAAATTGATGACCCCACTACCTCCCCAGAAAAAAATGAGTAAAACAGCCCCCCCCCCCAGCCAAAATTATGAACAGTCCATTATATCGCATATAAGCTCAATGTCACAGCTTTCAGGTTATTTGCTTCTTTACTTTATCTGATTATTCTTCATTTACTCTTCGACTGTCAGCTATCTTGGATTTATAAATGCCAGATCCAACCATAATAAATTAACCTGGTGTATTCTGGTTATGTTGTAATGGAAGTGGTGTATTTGAAGGAAATATCAAACAATAGTTTCATTGTTTGTGTCACGATGTTGCTGAAGTATTACCAATGTGACAATTGAGTCAGAATATGGAAGAATGTAACACCTTGGTTGCTGTCAACAAATACTGACAGACTAAAATTCAATTTGTTGCATAAACAATCATGTCAAGTTCAGTAACTAGTCCCTGAAGTCAATACTCTGTCCAGCCAATATCTGAGAGAGATTTAGACTAGACACTGATTTAGAAGCAGTGTCTCAAATTTTGGATAATTTGAACCGAATTCAGATTGCAAAGATGCATCAAATTTGATAGCAAGCCAGGTTTTAACTACATATGATGACTTTCAAGACTCTAAGATTGCTATGAAGTATCCAAGTAGATGGTAACTGATTGATACAAAAGTTTGGAGCTGGCATGTCAGAGGGGGGCCAAACATGGTGATGTTTAACTTGTTAAGTCAAATTTGAAAACAAATTCAAAGCATTTTAAGTGTATAAAATATTCTTATGAAATCTTTTTTAGGAGCAACTGAGGCACAAAAAGAAATTGAATCTGGTGAGCTTCAACAGCAAATGCTTATGTTGGCGAGACCGTCTGGTGGAAGTAAATGAGCGTAGCTTACAAAGTGCCTGGGCCTGGGTGCAGGGTCTCAGTTGCTGGGGCTCCACTAATACCTATGCAGCCATCACCCATGCCATGAATGATCTGGATACACAGGCAATGTATCTGCTGACAGATGGCAGACCAGATCAGGTAAAGCAAGTATTTTGCTGAATGTTTTTATCAACATAGTATACTTTTATCATGTCAGTGCAAGATCAAGTGCTGGTATCTCTTCAAATACATCTGACATAATTCTAATGAAAACTCAACCTCTAATGTCAGTACCAGACTGACTGTTTAAACCTAATTAGATGTATATTTTTAACAGAAGTCCTCTACAGTGTCAACTATACATAACCAGTTGAGATGCTAATAGCGTCTCCCTTCCTGAACCTCTGTGCTTTTGCAAACAGGACATCTTTACTTCTTTCTTGTGTGAGCAATTGTCAGCGTAAATGGTTTTTTTTAAATAAGTGATTATTTTGAGTTGTCATAGCATGATAGTTGGTTATTTACACACTGAAACACGCTGATAATGCTTCTCACCTTTGAGGAAATCTGAAGAGTTTCTGTTCACCTTATAGTTTCTTAGGTGGTAACATGTGGAATATAATGCGTCTCTGAACAGCATGTGGGCATTTGACCCACATGTTACCTGCAGGAAGTACTGATGCCATGCCTCTATTTTCCATTAGTCCACATCAGAGGGTACACAAAGTACATGATCTAGACAACCAGCTCTCAGACTTTTTGTGGAAGCCTTGTTGGCTGAGTGGGTTAGATCGCTGTCTGACTTTGTATAAGGTGCTGGCGATAAGGTGCCTCATCAATCTGAGAGTGTGGATTTGAATCCTGGATGGGACTTTAATTACTCCCCGAAATACTAGAATTTACTTTACTGAGATAGTTATTCCCAAATGTAACATATGGTGTCTCTACATAACCAAGTATTGGGTGGGGTGGGGTGTTGGGTTGTAAATAAATGACAGCAAGGAGGAATTCTTTTGACAATCTATATTTTTTTGGGGGGTGATTGCAGTCAGAAGTACAGAATCTATGGCAATGATGTAATAGTGATCGTATTGTAAGCAATGATAACTATTGTATTAACTTTTCTACATAATGCCAACTCTTTTCTACATCTGCAGCCACCAAAGTCCATACTAGCCCAAGTACAGATGAAGCATAGAGTGCCTATTCACACGATCTCCTTCAACTGTAATGACACTGAAGCAAACCGCTTCCTGTATGAATTAGCTCGTACCACCACTGGACGATACCACTATTTCTCTCAGAAGGGTGTAGATCCAGATCAACCTGAGGCTTGGGAGGTCAGTATCTATAATCATAGCTTATCTTTTCACAAATATTGTTCTTTTAATAAATGTTGTAAAACACCTACAATGTGCTAGAAGCAAGACAGGAAGGTATGTATAGCTTTCAATCAGTCTTTGTTCATGGTACAGAGTAGATGACAGGGTAATAGTACACAGGATATCTGTAAAGTTCTGAGCCTAACACCCTTAACAGCATGCATGTATTCTCATCTAATCTGTGGCTCCCATAAAAAAAAGTTGCCCAGCAATCACACATCTTCACGTCATCGGAAATAGCATATCAACAAATCCGCTGTTGTGCCCAGGTTAATCATGTTGTAAACTAACAAAATTCAGTGTGGATTGCAATAAACAGTCTTCATTGTACATATCCTTGTATTGTGGGTTTTCAGATGCTTAAAAACATTCAGGGTTTTCTTGAATAATCACACGAACAGCAGAACATCGCAATATCTCATAAAAGACAACTTTATCATAAAGACACGCCATCAGCTGGGTACTAACAATGTTTGCTGTGATGCAACACACCACATTAAAGCATGGGTAAACACAGCTATCCGAAAACATATGATGTCACATAATAAAACCATCTTCCTTGATTTCATTTTATTTGATTACATATAGTCCCATTTTCATTCATTAAAACTGTCAGACAAAGTGTGTGTGAAATGGCATTGTCTCATTCTATACGTGAGTAGATAAAAATGAAGAAGTATTCCACCGTCTACAGCATCTCTGAGGTCACAACACTGATTTGACCTCACGTTTTAGATGACGTCATAGGCTCTACCTCACGTTAATGATGTCAGAGGGGCTTCACCCTGTCACTTCACCCTCATGTTCTAGACAACATCAAAGGCTCTGCATTCTCCAGGACTGGACTTTGTCTGTGTAGTCATGTTAGTTTGGGTTTCAGAATTTCTTCCCAATTTTGTGAACGACTTAAATTCCCTGTCGCACCTGCACCACTCCCTATTAAGAAGTATTACTACTTATTGGTAATAAATAATAATGAAGTATTCATTTCAACTACTAAGGCATTGCTTGGTAAAGGTATGCATGTATAATAATGTTTTAACTAAAACTGGAACCACATAATCCATGACCCGATTAATAATTAAACTGGAAATATAATATACAGTAATGACTTTCATACTAAAACGTAATACTACGTCCTTTTGCTGGTGATCGGTGAGATTCAAACATTTTCACAAGGGTCATGTTCTGACCATATGAGAAAGAGGGAATACTCAAATGGACTCTTCTACTTGTATTCCTCCATATTTTTGTTTTCTACTTCATGTCAATTCTGTGATGTCATGATTTCTCGACTTCCATGTATGTATTTAAAAAAAATGTCTCTCAGTTAAATAGTGCCAGTTTGGTTAATCCAGTTAAAAATGTAATATGTCATGTGGAAACATAGCCATGTAATCCAGTTCTCAAATCTGGAGATTCATAGGCAAGATAACTGATTAATATAGTTAGTGTTTGCTTGATGTCACAGGTCGGAAAAGTAAAATAAAAGCAAGATGTACATTCTATATATTTTTTATTTCTTGATATACATCTTCGATGGAGATATGCGTGACAGAGAATTTCTTTTGTCTTGTCATATTTATCATACAAGTTAAAGATATTTTCGACCTGGAGGTCCCAGCTTAGCTGATCTCCTCATGTTTAGAACCAGGTGTTCCTTTTGTGTTGAGCTTTTGGTGTCATTGGGATGATTCTGTTTGAGCTTCATGACAAGTAATTTTGGAAATGTCTTCATTACATGGATGAGTATGGGCCAGAATATAGTGGAAAGGCCCATATGGTTGTAGTTCATTCCAGAACTTTGTCTAAATATAGTATATAAATAGAACATGCCACAGCCCCTACTGAATGTCAACAAGTACAATGTATTACACTTGATATGCAATGAATAACACTACCTCATAACAAAACTGAGTTCATAAGAAAACTGCAATACAACACATTAAGACATTAGAAATTCAAACTCGGGTCAGGGGTCAAAGCATTATGATGTCACAAACTTCATGATGGGTATGCCAACCATGAGCAGCGAGAACAGCAGTTAGTCAGCCACTTGCAGAGTCCATCAAATGGGCATGTAAGGCTTGTGTGATTGTTTTCCATATTTTCTGCTGCCAAATCCCAAACATTAGCCTACAGATTTGGTATACAGCATACTAAGCATATGTCTTCGTCCAACACATGCTCTATGAGGGAGAGAACTGATAAAGCCAGAACTTGAAAATGGTTGAAAGAAAGTCACAGCAACCCCAGTTAAGTGAGGATGGGCAATATCCTATTGGAATGACAATCCAGGCCAAGATGTTGAAGAAACGGATTTGCCACTGTTTCAAGAACCTGTTCTCTGCAGCATTGTCAAATTGCCCTGAACAGTAACTTAAGGGATTCTCTGATGTCCACCAAAAATCATCACGAAACCACTCCCAAAGTGATTCCTCTCTATGGCACAAGCTTGAGCATTGCTCCCAAAGTCATCTGCAGACATGCTGACATCTGTTATTCGGGGAACTGTTAGGACCGTCTAGTCTGTAGTCTAGTCTGTGGTTCCTGACTGTTGGGGTGGATACACACAAGTCCCAGAATGGTCTGTGCATGGATCACCCGATATCTGTCTGCCCTGACTGTGTTGCAGGGGTGAGTCAATAATGACAAGCTGCGGGTGTGTTTGTGAGGTGACGTTTATTTCATCATCATTGTATATGGATCAACTATTCAATTGATCAGTCATTCAATTGATCAGTCATTCACCCTGTAATATAAGAAAGAATGCTATACATAAATCTAAACATGCAACAAGTACAGTTACACATAACTAGTTCATAATAAGTTATTCTTATTACCACTAATGTATAAAACACTACATAATGGTTGTAATTTAACATGCAAATGATCAACTTAAATGATCATAGAGGTGATATTTAAATCACACATAGATAATTACATACATGATAAAAGATAATATGTACATACCCTGTGGGTGACACCGGGGTGTGTCTATATACCCACACTAGAACTCTGGGTTATTGCATTCCTAAAACAAATAGTAAGTACAATATTTTACTAAGGCTACAATTAATAATGTAGAAAGAAACTTCTTGTTCAACATTACATTCAAACTACCAATCACATCATGCTCTCACACATTCATACATTGAGACACTTCATATTGATAAATTAAAAGGTACATTGGCTACTTGATATAAAATAGTAATATTTACAACACTTTATATTATTTATAACATATTTAATGGATAGGTTGAGATTCTATTTAGGTTAATATAAAGTAAATGTCTAACCTGAGCTGTGCTGAGTGGCTTGTTCTGTGCAGAGTATGACAACATGTGTCTTCCAAAAGTGTGCAAATGCTATGGATAGTTATATAATGTTAATCAAATAGGAAGCTGAGGGCTATTGTATTGAAAGCTAGACTGTTGAGGCCCTAAACAGACCAACTGCTTGGATAAGTAACCCAAGCTTATAAACTAATAAAAACAACTTGAAATGATAAATATAAAACTTTATTGCTAAAACTATAAACACAATCTCCTGTTACGGGTGAAGGTGTGCCTCCACTTGGTTAAGGATAGTGTCAGAGTCCACTGGTTTTCCTGGAGTGCAAATCTGTAACTATGATGGGCTGGAGTTCACAAAGTAAAGCCTTAGGGGGATAACCACTGTCTGTGTGTGTGATGTTAGAGACATGCACTTCTATTTCTGTTGAGGTATCACACTCATACTTAATGATTGCTGGGGCAATGTCAAAGATTAAACCTGGTATAGCTGAGGTGACTGTGGCTTGAAGGAGGAGCAGACCTGTGGGTAAACAATCCACTTTGCTAAGAGCGTCCTCTAATGGTGGTAGTACTGTTACCGGGGATCCTGATGTTACATAACTCCGAAGATCTTCACAGGTCCAAGTTTTCCATACTTTGCCAACTGTTTTCACGTAGAACCATGAATGCGAAAAGCCAAGTACCATGGAGTATGAAGAGCTTTGCTTTCGTTGCAAGAACTGAACACCGACAGTATCCCTACAGCTGTCGAGAAGCCTTGAAAGTATGTTGGTTCCCCAAAGTGCAGGCACTCTTCCATTGTACCTTATTGTCAGGGACTACCAGCACTAGACATGATAAAGGCTCCATTGTAATTGCCACTGCCCGTAGTCTTGATTCCAACCCTGTACATATCCCATGTATGTGTAATTGTTCCCCTCCTGCACATTCTATATCAAGTATATCATCAAAGTGGACTGAGAGAGGAATGTGGCTCTTTCCAGATACGTTTCAGTAGAAGGATTGTGACATCACTGATACAGTAGCACCTGTGTCCTAACAAAGTCTGTACAGGTGTGTCTTCTATCCAGATAGTTACTTCGGGTAGAGCTTCCAACCAAAAACCATCTGGAACATCACTTCTGGGACTGCGAACAGAAACCTAAAGGGTGGCCCCTCCCATAGGCCTGGGCCAGTTAAAAGGCGTCGCATGTGATCCATCAGGACTCTGCATCCATAAGAAAGAGATGTCCTGGATAGCCCACATCTCCAGCAGATAGGCACTCTCTGACTCGAAGCTGTCTGAAATCCTGTCATGCTGGAGGAGCTATTGGTGCTGATGAATTGGGGTTATTCTGTTGGTAGGTTGGAGGTGAAATGCCAAACTGATTAGGTTGGTTTCTGGCTGTTGCCCCTTTCCATAGAAGCTTGAGTCCAGTTACCAGTGTGTCTTCTTCCTCCATTGTTATACCTTCCTCTTCCCCTGTGTCCGTGAGTAGGCCCGGTATGGCAGGAAAACTGAGCTTGCTGCTGAAAAACTTGAGCGGAGATCTGTTTTTGCTGTTCCTGTAACTCAGTCATTCCAGTGTAGCTCCTTAACAATAGCTTTCAACTCTGTTAATTTCGCTCTTAGATTCCTTGGGCTCCAGATGGCGTTGCCATGTTAACTGTAGCTGTCTCTTTGCCTTTGATTTGGTCTTGGAGATGTCAGACTTTCCTCTCTTCAGATCAAACTCCATTTCCCGGAGACACAAGCGCAGATCATCAAAACTGAAGATGGAATCATACTTATAGCCGGCTAGAGTCTTCAAAGACGGATCGAGTCCATCCCATAAGCGAGTGCGCAGCATATCGTCCTGTTCCACCGGGATAAAGGTTTTGTTTGGATAAATGGAACATAAATTCGATCTAGACGGCAGCTCCAGGTAGCGACATCCTCATCTTCTGCCTGACAGGCACTATAAAATTCTGACATAAGAGCAGAACTTCACGTGAGTGTTCGAAAAGCACTCTTCAGCTTGTGAAGTAATTCTTGGAAATCTGCATGTGGCCCAAGCTTCATAGATATGATAGCTGCTTCTCCCTTTGAGTGACTTCCGAATTGCATGAAGGATGACGTCTTGACTATGAGTCTTGGTTGTGATGAGGCATTCTACCTCGTAGATCCAGTGGTCATAGTCTGTGTCCTTCCTGATTCGCCACTAAAAACGGAAATTTAGGAAAGTGTTGATACATTAACGCCACGTGATGCTGGTATTTGACCTCCATGTTCTCCTCCTGTTTAATAGGGTGTTCTTTTTGTGAGATACCTTTAAAATCCAGGTTTTAAGATCTCGGGTGATTCCACTTTTAGGCTGGAGACCCATCTTCTTAAATGCAGCTAGCATGCTTTCCATTTCTTCCTGGCTTAACTTCCATAGTGTTAATTGACACAATGCCAGAGGAAGAACTAAGAAAAGAAATAAAGAAGAAGCAAAACAAACTAATGGAATATATCCATTTGAGAAGTTGGCGTTATTGCTGTTAACGTAAGAGCACTAGTTCATTGCAGAATGGTAGGGCATACCAGGTTAATACATTAATGACCATTGAAGGTCATGTGGCGAGTAAGAAGATGAGGACATGATTGAAAAATGTTAGACAATCAAGAAATGTATGTAAACCGAGAATGTGCCGCAAGTGGTTCAAACGGGGTACATTAACACGCGATACAGGCAATAGGTCGGTCACTTGGTGAGATCAAAACAAGCGTTTGAAGTACACAACGGCAACCTCGAAATTCAGAACAGACACCTGAACAAAATGTATACTGAAAGCAACGTAAGCCTAATCTGAATGATACCCTTAAGACTGGTCACATATGTGAGCAGGACAAACAACCAAATTGTATATACAACCACAATTATATTTAAAAAAAACAAACCATACATCACCAGGCCGGTAGATAACAAATGTGAGCGAAGTGCAAGTGAGTTGTTAAAGGTATACTAAGGTGAGCAGTACCGTCCGTCACTCAGTCCAAACAATAACCAAGTTGAATAACTATACCTGTAAATGCTTACACTAAATTAGCTTTATCAGATTTTAGTTAATCAATTAGTTATTGATTTTATTTAGGTTGTTTTATTTTGTGTGTTTTTTAACTACATATTTGGTTCATTCACCCAATCATGCAAGAGAACTGAACAAAGAATAACTAAAGTATATCTAGGGCTAAGTAAATCAAACAATAAGAAGCTGTGACGGGGATAAACACCACGTACGCGGTTAGGTAAGTCAAAATAAATAAATGGTACCATAAAATAAACTAAGGCATGATGAACAAATGTCTGTGTGTAAATATATGAGGCTTAACAACTACAACTTTATTGTAATACTAAGTAACCTAAGGCATTTAACTAAGGTTGCATGTTAATGACTGACAGGGTAACACAAATATCGAATGCCTAATGAGCAGGGCAAGTACAATGAACTAGTGAATAACTAACATTTTACATATTGTAAATTACAGATGTAAAGTTTGGGATGAAATAATAAAAATCAGTTTACAGGTACACAGAAAACAATGGAGTAATAATCTTACATGGTGGGAGAACAATCAGCTGCAACTGGTAATGTCCATGTCCATGAAGGAAGCTTCCGTAAAGTTTGGTTTTGTTTATCAAAGCTTAGAATGTCAATCGCAATCACAAGCTATGACGTCACAACAATTCACAACATGGTGAAAGTTCAAAGTCACTGCTGACTGCACACTTGTATAGCTGGGGAAGAAATCATAGCATCAAGGAATGCACAACTCACAGTGGATATGATCCATGAATAATCACAAGATATGGGTGTCGTGTATAGCACGTCAGTTCCTCACTGGGGGCTCCATTGTTGCAGGGGTGAGTCAATAATGACAAGCTGCGGGTGTGTTTGTGAGGTGACGTTTATTTCATCATCATCATATATATGGATCAACTATTCAATTGATCAGTCAATCAATTGATCAGTCATTCAATTGATCAGTCATTCACCCTGTAATATAAGAAAGAATGCTATACATAAATCTAAACATGCAACAAGTACAGTTACACATAACTAGTTCATAATAAGTTATTCTTATTACCACTGATGTATAAAACACTACATAATGGTTGTAATTTAACATGCAAATGATCAACTTAAATGATCATAGAGGTGATATTTAAATCACACATAGATAATTACATACATGATAAAAGATAATATGTACATACCCTGTGGGTGACACCGGGTGTGCCTATATACCCACACAAGTATTCTGTGTTAATGCATTCCTAAAACAAATAATAAGTACAATATTTTTACTATGCCTACAATTAATAATGTAGATAGAAACTTCTTGTTCAACATTACATTCAAACTACCAATCAAATCATGCTCTCACACATTCATACATTTAGACACTTCATATTGATAAATTAAAAGGTACATTGGCTACTTGATATAAAATAGTAATATTTACAACACTTTATATTATTTATAACATATTTAATGGATAGTTGAGATTCTATTTAGGTTAATATAAAGTAAATGTCTAACCTGAGCTGTGCTGAGTGGCTTGTTCTGTGCAGAGTTGTTAGCAGTGTGACTAAAAAGTGTGCAAGTGCTATGGAGGAAAGCTGTAGTTACATAATGTTAATCAAATAGGAAGCTGAGGGCTATTGTATTGAAAGCTAGACTGTTGAGGCCCTAAGCAGACCAACTGCTTGGATAAGTAACCCAAGCACATAAACTAATGAACACAAAAACAACTTGAAGTGATAAATATAAAACTTTATTGCTAAAACTATAAACACAATCTCCTGTTACACACACAAATCCCAGAATGGTCTGTGCATGGGTCACCCATATCTGTCTGTCCTGACTGTGTTGGGGTGGATACACACAAGTCCCAGAATGGTCTGTGCATGGGTCACCCATATCTGTCTGTCCTGACTGTGTTGGGGTGGATACACACAAGTCCCAGAATGGTCTGTGCATGGGTCACCCATATCTGTCTGTCCTGACTGTGTTGGGGTGGATACACACAAGTCCCAGAATGGTCTGTGCATGGGTCACCCATATCTGTCTGTCCTGACTGTGTTGGGGTGGATACACACAAATCCCAGAATGGTCTGTGCATGGGTCACCCATATCTGTCTGTCCTGACTGTGTTGGGATGGATACACACAAATCCCAGAATGGTCTGTGCATGGGTCACCCATATCTGTCTGTCCTGACTGTGTTGGGATGGATACACACAAATCCCAGAATGGTCTGTGCATGGGTCACCCATATCTGTCTGTCCTCACTGTCATCATGACACATATGTGTTCAATTCCATTCACTAATTACTCTGTTTTCATCTGATGTTTTGTACACATGTAGTTCCAACATATCATGTTTCTATTTCCTATGTGCAATTTTGTTTCCTGAATGGTGTACTAATGGAATACAGGAGCTGAAACCCTTCTGTCAGTATTATGTGCATTGATACAGCACGTCCTTCTAAAATGGAACTTATATTTTTTTAATCCAATTATATCAGAGTGAAGATGTACAGCTGCTGAAGCAGGAACTGAAGCATGGCCAAAATAATCTGGAGCAGCTAGCCACTCTGCGGGATGAGTGTTCCTCCATGTCCTGGCGCAGACAGACAGATGATCTGAAGAAAGAAGCAAAGTAGGTGAACTTTCAATTTTATGACAAGGTTTATGTTTGATCTGTAGCACAACTTGATGAAAACAAATTGAAAGAAAGTCACTGGTAACATTTGGACATCCATTGTAAACTTTCATATTTTAAGTTCACCAGGACATAAGGTATAGCTTGTTGTCTGTCCTCTGTCTATTCTGAAAGTCTTGTGAACTATGGCCTGATTGTTTGGTGTCTGGAAACACTGGACCAGTGAAACTGTTCAAATCTGATATATAGCCACAAAAGGTATGAATGGGTGTCACAAAATGCATTTTGTCTCCACTGTTAAGACATCTGAAATAGTTCAGCTGAAAAAGCTGAACTTTGACATGTATGTGTCTCTAAATGATGACATCAAATTTTGTTCAAGTGTTTAGGATTTGGAAAACAATAAAGAACACTGTATTGCAAATGTCCTATTTTCCTTGGAAGTATGTCAAGCTCACAGTTGTACAGAGTAATTGGAATTGTAGTGCACTGCATAATTTTCTGACTTGGTAATTCTTTCTTGAAAATTTAAAAACATTGTGCAAATTTAGTTACTTCTTTCATATTATCAAATAATGTTGACTTCAGTATTTATCAAAATAGTGGTTTTACATAAGGAAGGCTATTTGTGTTATCTCACTTTTGATTGAAGACCCAACTTTGTCATGTGTTATCTAGAGAAATATTTGGGCTTTCCTATATGCCTCAATTATTGTGACTTAAGCTCAGATTGTTTCTAAATCATATGCACCTCCAGTGCAGAACATGTAACTTATTTTCCAGTTTCATGACATAAATTATTTCACATTTTAATTTTGTGATCCTTGGGTACAGTGTGTGAAGCCCATTTCTGGTTTTCCTTGCTGTGATATTGCTGGAATATTGCTAAAAGCAGCATAAAACTAAACTTCAATTACTCACTCAAATTATGCAATTTGGTCCCATAGTGCTTGGTGAGCCTTTCAGAACTTTCACAATTTGTCTTCTTTATTCTTCACTCATTTTACTATGGTGTAATTTCTGGTTGAGGAATATTTTTTGTACTGTATATGCAACTTGAAATCTGCAAGTCACCTGGTTCTGATGAAAGAATAAGATTTGTTTACTTGGTGTCACCTTTTGAATTCATGCTTGAAAATTTCTGAAAATCCTGTCATAGCATTCATGACAACAATGTGACAATTTATCAGCAAACAATCATCATTTGTTTCAATGCCAAGGCATTATATGATATTTACACCCAAAGTTAGTTCTTAGCTGGAATCATAGCTGGTAATTGCATTCATGTGGTAAGCCACAAGGCACAGGCCATAAATTTGTGTGAGTAGTAAATATTGTTGTAAATTATGTTTCCCAAAATACACATTTTTTTCCCAGGTATGATTTTAACCAATTTTCCTTCAACTCAGTGTTGATGTTTGTTTCAAACCTAAAGTTGGCATGTTATGTAATTATTTTTTATGTTTTATGATATATTGGCTTATGGCTATTCCATAGGTTGCAACAGGCATAAACAATTGCCAGTGTTGGGATGTTTAACCAACTGATTCTTTCTTCATCGGATTGTAAAGATCTCCTGTTTGAATCCAATATGATGTAGAGCGCATGTTTATTGCTTTATGTATTCATGTCTATTATTCATTGCAGTGAAAACCAGTTACCGGGCATCGATAAGTCCTCAGTGGGACCTACTGACAACACGAGGGATATGTATCATCCAAAGTCTCTGATCGCAAGGCCACAGAGTGCTCCACCTCAGGGAGCCCATGCTCTGGCATCCTTCTCATGCTCATCGTCTTCAAATGGGCTGAGGTCTGGCTCATCTCCTAAACAGTTCATCAGCAGACGACCAAACCAGAAAGCCATACTCTCACAACAAAAACAGCCGCTGACAGCAAGTAGGAAAAACTGCCTTGATTGCCTCTATGATATAATCAGTTGTGTTTTACTGCAGCATTGTATGCTTCATTATGATAATGCAGAAACAGAAAGTGGATTATGCTATGGAAATGACATCAGGATAGTATGATCATGAAATCACTAGAGGGTTGATCACTTTGACACTATTTGTGCATCTGTCCATGAAAGATGTCCCGAGCAAATCTTGAGAAATGTCTACTGCTGCTTGTAGACAACATAGGGAAGAATGCAGCACATCTTTAGTCTACAGCTGCTTGTAGACCATGTAGTGAAGAATGCAGCACATCTTAGTCTACTGCTGCTTGTAGACCATGTAGGGAACAATGCAGCACATCTTTAGTCTACTGTTGAGACCATGTAGGGAACAATGCAGCACATCTTTAGTCTACAGCTGCTTGTAGACCATGTAGGGAAGAATGCAGCACATCTTTAGTCTACTGCTGAGACCATGTAGGGAACAATGCAGCACATCTTTAGTCTACTGCTGCTTGTAGACCATGTAGTGAAGAATGCAGCACATCTTTAGTCTACTGCTGAGACCATGTAGGGAACAATGCAGCACATCTTTAGTCTACAGCTGCTTGTAGACCATGTAGGGAAGAATGCAGCACATCTTTAGTCTACAGCTGCTTGTAGACCACATAGGGAAGAATGCAGCACATCTTTAGTCTACTGCTGAGACCATGTAGGGAAGAATGCAGCACATCTTTAGTCCACAGCTGCTTGTAGACCATGTAGGGAAGAATGCAGCACATCTTAGTCTACTGCGTTGCTTGCTACTTACTACCAAATGCAATCTTGACTTTGAGTGTTTAGCTGTTGGGTGCACAGGTTTATCCCTATTCGGCTTAGGCCCTTCTGATTTAGACTGGAAATTCCGACACATGCGCTGAATATGCTCACATTTATTACATTTATGGCAACGTTATTTCTTATAAAAGCATGATTCCGGCAAGTGAGAGTCCTTACCACAACAGTAACAAGGTTGTTGGGTACTTTGTTTGGATCCGGCAATTGGCAGACTACCGTACTACCGCATGTTAACCTTGTCTGGAACTTCTTCTATTAAATTTTTTTAACTAGAACATGGTTATTTTCATGCTGAATATCTTGCAAATTTCTCTCAGCTGTTTCCATTGCAGGGGCAATTTTTAATGCATCCTGGAAAATTAATGTAGGTTTGGCTAACAATTTCTTCTGAATACTATCAGGTCCAATTCCACAAACTAGTCTGTCTCTTAGCATGACATTCAACTGGTCAGCAAAATTACAACCATCAGATAACAGTTGTAGAGCTACCACATAGCTTCCTACACTTTCTCACATTCGTCTTGAACGTGAATGAATCTTTTCACAATTTCTGATGGTTTTGGAGTATAATGGTCCTTTAATATGTTTGTCAATTCGTCATAAGACTTATCTAAAGGCGAAGCAGGCTGAACTGTAGCTTGTATCAGCTGATATGTTTTCATTCCACTTGAAGACAACTAAGCACTTCTTCGATTCATGGGACTCGTAATGCCGGCGGCCACTAACGAATGTCCTAAAATTTTGCACCATTCCTCCCTCCTGCATTTGTTAGAGTGAAAGTCAGGCATATTCAAACATGCTGCCATCTTCAGAAAGTCTACAGTTATTATTAACTGCAAAGTGACAAAGTAATGCTTACTTGTCTTCCCTTTAGTGATTCACTGCACACACCACGTGCGCTGAACACAAGTCAAAATTCAACGTGACAGGTAATTTCATTCCACTTCATACACCTTTCCCGTTCCATGTTCAGCAGCACAGCAGAACATTCCGGCTGCATTCAATACTGTCAAGCCTGTATCCCATCCTCGTCGCCACAATATGCCATGACGAGAGACAACAAAAAACCACAGCTGGTTAGGATGAGAGTTTACTGGTCACTCTCGCAAATCCAAATGTCATGGTTACACCTCGTCGGGTATTCCACACGACTAGTAATTATTGGTCTGATCTGGACAACAAGTTTTAACTGTATCATATGTCCAATCGTTACAATTCGTTTTGGATATTTTGGGATGGCTTCCATTTATAATTATATTTCAGGTGTAGTAATTCAACTCTTAACCTGCACATATACCTAATGCCATAGCGCTTTCCTGCTGTCTGCTATTTGGCACTATTCTGTTTTAAGTGAAATCAGATAAAATCAGATAAAATCTCCATACATGTGAAAGCTAACCCTTAATTCACAAATACTTGAAAAAAAATTAAACTAAAATGTCTTTAGTATTTTTGTTCAGCTGAAGTATTGTTGCAGTATTAGTGAGCCTTGCTCACATGTTTTGGCTTGTCACTTTTTGGATTACATGTAATATATGAACTAATAGTTTTATTGTTGTGATATTGGATTGAACATGGAGATAAAGTAATTCTTAGGATCTGTTATTTGATTGTTTGACAACAGGTCACACTCGTACCAGTCTCCTCCGCACACTGAACAGTAGTGGACGTTTCACCAGCTCCAAGTGGCTTTTACCAGAGACTCAACAACTGTTTGAAAGACAAGCAGAGCGCCAACATGAACTACTAAAAGGTATTTGTTATCACAACTTAAAGACTACCAGGTAATAGTTGACAACATAAACGTCTGTTTGGTTGGCAGAAGACATATATAAGTCTGTTCTTTGCTGTAGTACTTCACAGAAGTCCACCAAAGTGATGCATTACATTGCCATAAAGACGTTTTCATGTTTACAGGATTGTAGGAACTGACAGGGAAATGATTTTTGCAAGACAACAGATTTTATTAGTAACAATCAGCAGACTCATATTCTGGTTACTGAAAATGCAAACTGGATCAATTGTGACGTGTCACTAGGAGTTCAGATGTCCATTTGACAGACTACCTAGCCAACTTGTTCTCAGTGTTACAAGTGAGTGACTAACCAATCAGATCCGTAGATGTTTTTATAACAAACATAACAGCACACTGTAAAATCATGAATTTATGCATTGACAATGTAAGTAAAATGAAAAACTTTTATTGCATATATATGGGCGCCTCTCAGCTGCACATAGAGTGATGTCCTGCTGACATGAATAGTGATTGCAGCGGCTGAGTGGTGATCACATAAACCCACCAGTGCTGTGATTGTATCTGGGGATATGAATAGTGGTTCCTAGGGCCATGCCAACCTGAATAGGATAGGGGTACCCTGCAGGTAGTGGATGTATGTCGGAAAGACCAGCAAATGATGGGTTAGAAGGTGGCGACAACACCGACCCATTTATATATGGAATTATTTGGGTCCCAGAAACCCTGTAATGCTAAGTATGGCTTGAGACGCCACAATATCAGTTTAAATTTTAGATCTTCGATAACCACCATGTTGGATTAGTTGTGAAGTTAAAGACATCCAGGTACCACTGACTGGCAATCTGGGAATCTGTTACCATAGACTTTGTGATGCTTACTCTAAATGCGACGAGCAGTAGCATTTTAACCATGGTATTGCATAGTAATTTTACAATGTGGGCCATGACAATTTCACTGAATTCGCAGGGATGATGTATTTTTTCCCCAGAACTTCAGTACACTCACATTGACCACATTATAAACTGGTTAACTGTTAATTCTTGAGAGGATATTACCAGTAAATATTTGTTTCACCTTTGTTTATTTGTTGGTTGTTACAATTTTGTATCACATCATGATTATTCACATGTACATTCATGTAATTGTACTGTGAGTAGATAGTTCTCTCAGCTAATGGCTAAAGATGTTGACACTCTTTACAACCCACTTCCTCGTAGTGATGAAGCATGCTTGTTATGTTTGTCTTAGTAGAGTTAAAAAACGTAAAAAAATTGATGTTCTGAATCTCTTCAATAATACTATTTCGATTAATAAAGTGTTACCAGGTACATTAAAAAATGATGTCAACTAAGATCAGAAGCATCATAAGAATTCACCCTAAATCTAAATAAGAGCTCCCAAAGTTACAGAAGGGAAATGTTCCATGCAAACACTTATATATCTATGTTTCATTATTATATATCAAAATTCATGAGTTTAACATGAAAACTGAGCTTCGGTAACTGGACGACAGCATAAGCCAAGTTCCATGTGCATGACTCCACTTACCGATACTCACATCTTTACAAAAAACTAACAAATACAAATACCAAGTAGCTGGGTATGTTGATTCTTCATCTTCAATTCAAATCTCCAGTAGTTGCTATTTGAACAGACGAGCTGCAGATACCTTCCCATTTGTAAACAACTGTTGATAAGTCTAACACATGACTTTTAATTTTTAGTTTCAACAGAGAAGGAAAACATGAGAAAGAGGAAAGGAAAAAGACATGGCAGGTAAGTTGCATGACATTGTTTAAGCCATGTGGAGATCCATCCAGCATCTGTACATTTTCTTGTGTGACATGTATTTAGAAATGATAACAAAAATGGATATCCACATCTACATTAAGGCAAAACAGACTAAATTGTTATGCACACATCCCTTTAGGGTTACAAAACACCAAATCTTTTCCCATAGACTTCTATATTAGCGTTATATTTTTTTTTTTAAATCCTTCAGGCTGTCAACAGCTTGAGTCACAATTAACAGTGTTTGGCAATATCAGCTGAAAACAGTGTTTCTCTGCAATAATTTATGGGTTACTGGGTGACAGAAGGATATAGTGTATTTGGGGAGATTATTTATTGATATCGAACGCAGTCATGTCACTAAAATGTGAACTCAGAACCTAATGTTACAGTCCACAAGTTTCAGTTGTTATTATTTACAACTAATCAATTTCTGGGTTTGATGTATAACCCTTAATTCATGTCTGACAAACCGAAGAACTGCACACTGAGGCATTAAGGGTGCACTGTCAGAAATTTCTAATGGATGAGGGTGACCGAGTGATGGAATTTAATAATGATACATAGTGGTTCCTTAACTTGAGTGGGGGACTTAAATGTATACTAAGCAGCAAAAGAAACGTCAGTTTGGAATTTTCCTTCGCAGAAACAGATAACTGTAAGCTCATTTAATGTTTTGATTGTATATTGTTGACAACATCTTCAACTTTACCTGAGCAAAGACATTCCTTCCCAAACTCAGAATGGAACCCAGGATATGGTCTCAAAAACGCAACCTGATCTCGGAGATGGTACGGTGTTCTCCATGTTTTTCATGCAACTCATGCTGCACATGCTGTTCACAAGGACCAGCCCTATAAAATGCACCCCCAAACCTGGTTGAAACATTCACATTACAACGTCAGCAGGATGCCGTGACTCTTGACAGCTCAGAGGAACCAGGCGCTAGGAAGACTTGAAGCTGGCCACACTGCACAAGCAGTTGCCAATCACTTCCAGGTAAACGTTTGGACCATCTACAGGCTGCAGCAACGTTTCCGGGCCACCAACACCACAAATGATCGCCCCCCGTACTGGCAGACCACAAGACGACAAGACCGCCATGTTGTGCGACAGCATGTACAGAATCCCTTCATGCAGGCATCCGAAACAGCACACCAGACAGTGGCAACACACTGAAGACCAATCAGTACTGATACAGTACGCCAACGTCTTAACAGCGGGAACCTCCATGGCCGTAGATCTTACCGTGGACCTATCCTCACCCCTCGTCATCGGCCTGTAGTGATACAGAATATGGCGACAGCATTGCCAGCGTTACTCAGACCAATGTATTATGGAAAGAGACTCATGGGGAGGTGCAAGCATCATGGCATTGGGTGGAATAGGCCTGAACCAGAGAATGGGTCCTGTGGTGTTCCAGAACCTTGGTCCAGGGAGAGGAGGCGGCATCACAGTGGTGCGCTACATCGACCAAGCTCTCAGAGCCCACGTCATACCACATTTCGCACGTCACTGAAACATTTTCCAGCATGATAACACCCGGGCCCATACTGCCAGAGCTACACGAGACTTCCTACAGCAGAACGGTGTCAACATTATGCAATGGCCAGCCCTTAGTCCTGATCTTTGGGATAAAATTCAGAGGACACTGAATAATGTCATACCAAGGCCGAACACAGCCGATTTATTGCGCCAGGCCTTTCTCAGAGTGTGGTTCCAGGTGCCAATGGCCTTCATCAATCGATTGGTGCTCTCCATGCATAGACACTGTGCTGCAGTTATTGCCACTCATGGTGGTCACACTAGATACTGAAGTCAAGAGTCTGAATGGTCTGCAAACGTTCACGTAATGTCTTGAAATTGTGCTGAGTTATTCATTGATGTGTCAAGATATTGTACACAAAAAGTGTTCTTGATCCGCTTATTATGTCCATTTCTGTAATAATTTGATTACAGTGCCTATCTAATTTTGAATTTTGATTTTTTTGCTTCTGAGTATACTATATGTACCTACATGTCCAAGTACCACAACTTCTTCAAGACGGTAAAGCATATCGAAGCAAAAGGAGTTGTGTGCTTGATTACACACTGCCAACATCACACTTTAGACTGGCTTGACAACTCGCTAAGGGAGCACGCGATTCTGATATAGTGTTGTAGAACCTTAACACTAGATTGCCCTTTAGGGGAGTTATCTCCCCTAACAAAAGTGCAGGAAACCTCTACATTTGTGGTGCTCACCTCTATGTTTCTGGTGCTCACATATATGTTTCTGGTGCTCACCTCTGTGTTTCTGGTGCTCACCTCTATGTTTCTGGTGCTCACCTCTATGTTTCTTGTGCTCACATCTATGTTTCTGGTGCTCACCTCTATGTTTCTGGTGCTCACCTCTATGTTTCTGGTGCTTCTGTGGTGCTCACATCTATGTTTCTGGTGCTCACTGTTTGTCTCATGTTTCTGGTGCTCACCTCTGTGTTTCTGGTGCTCACCTCTGTGTTTCTGGTGCTCACCTCTGTGTTTCTGGTGCTCACCTCTGTGTTTCTGGTGCTCACCTCTATGTTTGTGGTGCTCACCTCTGTTTCTGGTGCTCACCTCTATGTCTCTATGTTTGTGGTGCTCACCTCTATGTTTGTGGTGCTCACCTCTATGTCTCTATGTTTCTGGTGCTCACCTCTATGTTTGTGGTGCTCACCTCTATGTTTCTTGTGCTCACCTCTATGTTTGTGGTGCTCACCTCTATGTCTCTATGTTTGTGGTGCTCACCTCTATGTTTCTGGTGCTCACCTCTATGTTTCTGGTGCTCACCTCTATGTCTCTATGTTTCAGGTGCTCACCTCTATGTCTCTATGTTTGTGGTGCTCACATGTATGTTTGTGGTGCTCACCTCTATGTTTCTGGTGCTCACCTCTATGTTTCTGGTGCTCACCTCTATGTGCTCACCTCTATGTCTCTATGTTTGTGGTGCTCACATCTATGTTTCTGGTGCTCACCTCTATGTTTCTGGTGCTCACATGTATGTTTCTGGTGCTCACCTCTATGTTTCTGGTGCTCACATGTATGTTTCTGGTGCTCACCTCTATGTTTCTGGTGCTCACCTCTATGTTTGTGGTGCTCACATGTATGTTTCTGGTGCTCACCTCTATGTTTGTGGTGCTCACCTCTATGTTTCTGTGCTCACATGCATGCATGTGTGTGCTTGTCCTCTGTAAACAAATTTTCTAAGGTTTGATTTTCTCCTCTTTTGAAATCAAATGTAAATCCAAGGGTTCTGTATACATATTGTCCTCCCCCTTGGCCACTAAGAATTGCTTGGCCTGTTGAAAGTTAATATCCTCTAAGGATCCTCATGCTGATTGTTGAAACACTTTGCTACTTTGTCTTCCATGTGAAGCTCTTCAACCCCTGTCACCGACAGCTTTTGAAAAATATAATAATAATAATAGCATATTTGTTACGCGCATATATCCATGCTAAAGCATGCTCAAAGCGCATAAGATAAAGATGAGATTAATGGTAAAGAGCTACAGTTCAAAGGCTATCTCGAACATGTGTGTTTTTAGACTGGATCTAAAAGAATTAAAGTCACAACAGTCTCTGAGGCTCTGCGGGAGACTGTTCCAGGCTATAGATCCTGCATGGACAAAGGACCTCTTTCCATACATCACTGTCTTTACTTTGGGAACAACAAGCAAGTTCTTTTCCTGTGAACGGAGAGATCGGGAAGGCGTGTACACGGTTAGAAGATTGGATAGATAAGAAGGTGCAGTTCCAGTGAGACAGCTGAAAACAAGGCATAAGAGTTTAAACTGGATCCTGAACTCGACTGGAAGCCAGTGGAGTGTACAGTATAGGAGTAATGTGTTCATATTTTCCAGAGCGAGTCAAATATACCTTAGTCATCAATAAAAGTAAAAAAAGAAGATGACGAAGCTGCGATCTAGGACCCTCATCTAAAGTGACTGCAGATCCCGAGATGGTATTAGACAATCTGTTGACTTTGGGCAGCTAGGCGTCCTCTCCTTTCTATCTGATCAGTACATACACCATACAGCAACTCCTTTGGCTGTTAAACTGAAGTTTGTAACAGAGGACGCGAGAGGGCGCTAACTCTGCATGCAAGATACAGCTAATCACATACACTCTTCTCACGTTTGTAAGGAGCATTTTACGGACAATCTGGAGGAACCATATTTTATAGCTATGAATTTGAGAAAGGAAACGTCAGACCAGAGGAAAATAGGGCTTTCACTAAAGCAGAGTCATCAATATTGTCATGACCCTATAGGGACCAGTCCAGGTGCAGCACACAATATAAGTTCTCGGGAGTGGACCTTCAACAGCACTACAGAAACAGTCTCATTGCAAGGGATATGGGAAAGAGTTTCAAACCAAGAATGAAGGAAAGCCTGGGCCTAGATCAACCTGTAACCACCGAAGGCATGGAAGATGACCATATTTCCTACAAAGTTATTTCAGGGTAATGTGGGTGTCTGATTATCAGCTTTTGTGGAAAACTGGCAGATCATTACAACTGATCAATGTATCCTCAAATACCAGGGAAGGAAGATGACACACCCAGTTGGACATCGGTAGGAAGTCCAGGACAACAAGCTTTCAGCAGCGATGACACCCATAGGCAAGCTCTTGGACAAGAAGGCCTTGGATCCCGGAGCAGGGTTCTACTCTCTGGTATTCCAGATCAACAAGACAGTCATCAGACCTCATGATCATTGAACTGAAGATCCTCAACCAGAAATACCTGAGACGACCTTCCAAGTTTTGGATGGAGTCAACATACAGACCTTCTCTGTAGTTTATTCTATTATCTCCATGGACCAGAAGGATGTGTATCTACACAGTGTTGCCTTTTCCTTCCTTCAATCTGAGTCACCAAGGCACATTTCCAAGAATACTCTAGTTTCTTGTTTTTAAAGAGACCTCTACTATGGGATTCTGACTGGTTCTGGATTCACCTTGTTGGCTTCCAGGATCAGGTTATTATGTCTTTTGTCATTGCAGTCTGCCATTGGGCCTGCCATTTGACTTCTGCTAATAATTTTGCATCCTGTTACCTCAGGAATGTTTGTCTGGCTATTCAAGGGATTCACCATCTTTGTACCTTTAGTTGCTGGTTAGCCAGTCGGGGTGAGGGGAGGTATGTATCTCTAATGTGTTATTGTTGATCATTTCATCCTCATTGAATGTATACTGTCAATCATGAAATTAATGTATCATAAAATAATGGAAGTATTAACCACTGGCCAAAATGGAACTTGAAATTATTACGAGAAACTGTGTCACTGAACTATAACAACTTATTGTCTTTAAATGTCCATGATTAAGTTTAGGATGATAGTACTTTGATTAGAAAATATCATTAGTTGTCTTCAATAACTTAATTATATGATAAATTATTATATAACCATGAAATCAAAACTGAAAGTTTCAAATAATACCTATTCAGGTGGATTTGTCTGAATTTGGTGTTTAATCACATTGTTTATTGTGAATTTTGTTATATATTTCATTGTTTCAGCCCAAAATGCAGTCAATCTGACATGATCATATACCCAGTACCTGCACTCTAAGATGTGTCCAGAAAAATATGTGATATCGCATGTGCCTGTGTTCTGAAACAACAAAAATAACACAGTGTTTACATATTTTACCTAATTATGTGTGAAGTGCTCTATGACATAGTTTTGTGATAATCCTTCTGTCTCAGGGGTTGTCACATACCCACATGTCCCTTCCCTATGTGGCATTAGGGCAATCTTGTTTTATGTCAGGCATACATTTATGTTGAAGTAATTCATAACATTAAGAATATCTGAATGTCTCTCACTATCAACACGAATGTGTCAAAGCTCTGACCATATACATACACACAGAAGAGGAATAAAGGAGAGTCTGCACTTGTAAATAACACTTTTGATGAGAACATAAGGCCACATAAAAAATATTCTTGTTTCTCATCACGTTTTTTAAAAAATATGGGTCAGGCGGGCACATTTTATTTTACATTTTATTTTATTTTATGTACAAAATCCCTTGATTTCTGTGGAAATTTACACCTTTTCTCCGATAGAAAAACAAAACTTAGAAGGGTGAAAAATTCATGCACATTTTGAGAGTCAAAGTTGCGTTTTCTCTAGTGTAAAAACTTAAACAATCTTAGGGTCGGTTCAAATTTTGGGTCGGGCAGTTATGAGAAACAAGAATATTTTTATATATGGCCCAAGGGGATGCGATATGTCTAAGGTAGAAGACATGCAATAATTCTTGATGTGATCATGATGAATTACTTCAAAACACTAGAATATTTTTCAGGAAAATAGATAAGATTCTCCTTTTTGCAAAATAAAGAAGCATTGTTGAAATGTGGTTACATGATTCATATTTATCATAAAAAAATGAAATCAGCTAATATAGCTAGCTATATCACTCCAATGAAATTGCATCACTATGTTTTGAGACCATTGTGACACCAATTATTATTATGGCATAATCAAAGGATATCACAAATCTGTCGTAAGCTGTAATGTTAACACTCAAGACACTGGTTTTTAATGTTTACAAACGGAACAAATAAAGGAATGATATTCAGTGATAGATGCAGTCTCACCCGGGTGTGTTTTGAAATATATCATATCACTGACTGACTGACTGACTGAGTTTGGTTTTACGCCGCTTTTAGCAATATTCCAGCAACATCACGGCGGGGGACACCAGAAATGGGCTATATCATATAAATACTCATGAATAAAACAAACAATTCCTACAAAAGTCTCAGAATTTTTTACTTTCAATGACTTATATTGTAATATAGAGTGTGATACTCTCTGTTTACACGTACATATTACCTGTACAGAATATATTTGTACATCATTACTAATGCTATATATTATAGAACCACTTGGTGGTTGGACATTTCAGGGATATCATCTCCTTGATATCCCTGTCAAGGACTGAGGTCTCTTAAGTGCACAGGCTAAAAACTGTATTGTTAACAACTGGAGAAACATTTATTCCTTATCAGGTCTGTTACCTATATATACCTAAAGCGTTGGGCTCTCTGTAAAAGTTATTCCACACTTTACAACAGGGACCACAGAAGAATACTGGTGATTCAGGGTAAATGCTGATGAAAAATGTTTTTGGCTTTGCTTGGTAGGGACCTTTGTGTGATGAAAATACTTTCGCATTAATCTATTCCTATTGTTTCAGTCGAAATGAAGTATCATCCAAAGTATGGCTGAAGAAGAATAGCCTCATCGCAAAAAGATTAACTATCCTGGATGCTTTGTCTCCCACATTTGTCCCTCACCGTTCAAAGTATGTTCCTATACTGGACAGACATGTTGTTGCAAGGGTGTTTGATCAGGTATGGATTGCTTGCTAGAAACAACAATATGATTCATTATTTAAATTCTTTCACTGAAAACTCTCCCTGCACTTTATTATTTGCCTTTTGATCTTATGTTGTCATGATGGTGGTACCTCACTGAAGCTGGTCATATGTCAGTTTGTTATTCAGTGAGGAGATAAGTCTTCTCTGAAAATGCATTTGGCTTATTGTACCCCGCCGCCCCGCCGCAATGGGGAACTATGTATTCAGCAGCGTCCGTTCGATGTCCGTGTCCTTATCTTCAAGGTCACCATGAAGCTTTGACCACTTTTCAAACTTATGTAAACGCAGTATCTCATAAAACTTTGCACCCAATGTCTTCCTTTATGTCGACAGCCTACATTGGGTGATTACATAACAGGTATCAGGGTAGGCTAGGGTAATGGGGGTTGGGTACCCAGGTAGAAAATTTGGATCCGTCCCAGCCGTAATACATACTGATACTGACAGTGGATATGTGATTCTGCATCTATACATTCAAATCAACTATATTCCTGAAATATCTTCAGAGTTAGAACATTCTGAGAAGTGACCAAGACAAAAAACTATATCACACAAAAGGTAATCTTCTGTGTGACCAAAAGATTAAAACTAGTAAATGTGTTATATTTCATTCTTCTTTAGTGGCAGGCAACATTGCCATGTTAGTGGTAAAAACACTTGTCTTCATTCTATCACTACAAAATTATACAAATTGTATTGCTATCTTGAATGTTGCAGAACTGATTGAGTCTAATATTTCTTGTAAGCTAAATGGATAATTGTTTGATGAGTAACAGTTAGATTTAATACACATACATGTGTGAACTGAAATGTTTGTAGCCTCTGACATATAGCCTATGGAATTAATGCTATTAGAATCACAACAAAATATGTATACATACAGTAGTTGACAGTGAAGATGTATAGAAAGTATACAGGGTTATAGTGTGATTTTTAGATTTTTGAACATTTATTCTATGTAAGCTTACAGCAATATAGAAAATTCAAAAGGTTTGTTTAAGCACATTTAAGGAAAGGATACAACAATATTCCACCCCCTATTCCTTACAATCCATGAGACATATTATTTTCAGGTGTTTCTTTACTTTTAAGTAACATTTGGTATTGAAAAAATGTATTGCTATGAAATGTTTAGAACACATTGTTAAGAACTTATTGTTGAATGAAGTCAGAGATGTTCTTGACCCATTACAATTTGCTCACAGAGCAAGGCGTGAGTAGAAGATATCACAATCACTCTGTTCAACAATATCTATAAGCATTTATAAAACTATGGTACTTATTTCAGTATAATGTTTGTTGATTTTTCATTCACTTTTAATACTATTCAACATCATTTATTAGTTGATTAACTTTCCAAAATGAATGTTGATGTTAACATCACCAAATGGATTAATTCTTTTCAAGTTAATGGACAGCAATTTGTACGGGCTAATAATGTGAAATCATCAATTGAAAACATATCCACTAATTATTATTATTATTTTATTTATTTTTTAATCACTTTATATCTTTATAATGGGTACATAATTTATGCATTTGTGGTACATGTAAATATTATAAAACAAGGACATGGATGGTAGATAATCCGTTAGGCTATAACAATACATTTGTTGTTGCTATTTATGTGAAGAGATGGCAAGATGACCAAAAGGTGAAGAATTTACCATAGTTGCAGTGCGAAAAGGCAACACATTTGTCAATTTCATACAAGGTGTGGACATGTGTAGATAATTTTTTAATCCAGCAATCTGTGGATGCAAATTGGAACATCTCTTTGCATATATATAGTATTTTGTTGCGATGATAATAAGGTTTAGTACATCGTTTCTTTTTTCTTTATATCCAAAGATGATATGTTTTGCATCCAGAGTTAATTTTGTGCCTGTTTCTTGTTCAATCCAGGCTTTTAGTTGCTGCCACAACGTTTTTACATGTACACATTCACAAAATACGTGGATAATTGATTCTATTTTAACCTTACAGAATGTACAAGAAGTGGATTGTGTCAGTATATAGTTAAATAAATCCTTGTTTGTTGTAATGATTCTATGGACAATTTTATATTGAAGCCATCTGAATTGTGTATTACAAGTTGTTCTGAAAGGTACATAGTTAAAAACTTTCCAGAGTTGTTCTGATATATCTACGTTGATATCCCTTTCCCATTTAAGTTGACTATTTAGCTTTTCTTTTAATGTATGTTTCCTTAGCAAGACAGAGTAGAAAATCTTGCACCCTTTACGTTCTTTATAGAGCATATGTATATTATTAGGAATAAATGGCTCCTCTACTTTACACAGAGTTAGTTCTTTCAAAAGTAAGTAGGATTTTATGGAGTTAATGATACCCCTATATTCTAAAAAAATTGTCTTAATATTATATAGGGAAATAAACTCTTCATAGGAAAGAAAATTACTATCTTTTTTCAGTAGATCATTAAATAATTTAACATTTCCCTTCAAGTAATGTTTATAAATAATAGGTTTTTGACCTACGGTAATATTGTCGTTTGCCCATATATACTGTTGTGAAGTTTCTGTATCAACGTCATCATTTATTTGTAAAGATTGCATATTTGCCCACGCTTCGTAAACATCTCTCCAAAAAACATTACTGATATTTGGGATAATAGTGTGTTTTAAGTAGTTTGCTCCCATCTCTGTTGGGTGAAGACTTTTTGTTGTAATAGCAAAATCTATAAGATTTGATATGTTAGAATGTTTAACAAATGTTCTGCGCAGCCATGATAGTTTTTGAGCTTGTATTGTTTCAAAAATTAAAGGTACATTTAGCCCCCCTTCTTTATTTGATTGAATAATCGTGTTTTGCTTGATCTTGTCAGGTTTTCCTTTCCAAATGAATTTAAAAACATTTTTTCTGTAGATTTTGAATGGTATCACTTCTTGGATTTGGCAACATAGTAAAAAGATGGTTTAGGGAAGGCAATATAAGGCTTTTAAGAAGAGTAATTCTGCCAAATGGAGTAAGGTCTCTTCTTAACCACATCATCATTGTCTTATCAACTTGTTTAAGTTTGTCTTTATAATTTCTCTCAACCATTTCAGCCTGGTTGTGTTGAAACTGAATTCCGAGTAAAGTAAAGGGTCTTTGGGACCAATCCAGTTTGAAAGTCTTAGAGTATTGAATGCTTGAGTATTGCATAGAACCAATCCATATTATTGTAGTTTTTTCTATGTTTATTTTAAGGCCAGAAAATTCAGCATATTGATTAAGTAAGCCCAAGGTTGCTTGAAAGCATTTTTCTGTTCCATCAAGAATAAGTGTCGTGTCGTCTGCAAATTGCGTTAATAAATATTCAATATCAAGAAGTTTAATACCCTTTACATTTGTATTTGTATTTTTTTTTGTACACCAATGGCTCTGCATCCAATGCGGAAACATGTTTTACTGTTAAATTCACTGATGATGATGCATTGGTAGGCCTTATTACAGAATCAGAACTTATAGTTACAAGGCTGAAATTTAAAAATTTGTAGAATGGTGTAAGTCAAACCTTTTATTTTTGAATGTGCAAATAAACAAAGAAATGATCATGGATTTTAGAAAAACAAAGTATACAATAAATGCTGTAAGTATTGAAGATAATGAGATAGAAAGAGTAACTGAATACAAATATTTGGGTACTGTCTTAGATTCAAAACTCTCCTCGAACTCTCCTCTCAATGCCAAGTATATTTTTCTTGGCTTGGAACAGAAAATCTTCTGTGACATTTTTTACCTTCTCATCTTTCTATTTCAATTTAAATCATCTATGTCTAAAGCTTAAGTTGCCCGGAGGTGGGTACCAGTAATTACTCGACTTACTGTTGTTTTCATGAGTACAGTTGTGTTAATGTGTGCAAATGTGGGTATCATTATTATTTATTATCATGTTTTACAGATTAAAGATAATATGCAGCAGAGAGGGTTCGGGTGATCCTGGCACAGTCAGGCTGGTAAGGCTCATCATCAGCTCAGGGCCCTTGCCCCCTCTACACACAGCCCAGACAGCGAATGGGACTTCTCCCAAGAAACGTTGCCTAGTTGAACCCACCAAGAACTTTCCGGAAAATATGTAGACTCCCCAACACCGAGAACAATGGGGAGCCTGATGACAGTGTAGTTGGGATGCAAGTGAGACATTTCAAAGGCGAGGTCCACATATTTAGCTTGCTTTTCATGAATCTTGCCAATCACGTTGCTGTCAAAAGGGACTGAAAATTCAATGATATAAATAATTTCATTGGCTTTATCAAAAAGAACAAGATCAGGTTTGATGACTGGAATTCTTCTAAGGCTGTATATAGGCCTATTCCACAGAAGTTTGAAAGCATCATTTTCCATTGACGCCCTGGACAAGTTAAAGGTCGTACCATGGATGGACCTCGGCATGCCACAAGCATGGCGAAGACGATAGTAAAAGCAACGAGCCATGCCATCATGTTGTTTAAGATATGCTGTTTGTGGCAAGGAAGGGCATCCACTGACAAGGTGTTGGACAGTCTCAGTAAATTCATTACACAGTCATTTCATGGTTATATTTTCTTTAAGAATCACATTCTGGCGATTGCGAGTGGGAAGTGACTGGTCCTGAGCAGCAAAAAGAAAGCTTATATTATATATTATTAGCATTATGAAGGTTGACACAGCAACACCGGCATTTGAGTACAGTACCAGTAAGTAGCTGGTAAGAACTAACTACATAAAAATATCAGTCATCAGAGATCAAAGATTTTGTTTTTGGACTGCTTTATGCATCTGTAGGACCAGGGAGCAAGCATGGTTTGGCAGTCGAGGTTTTCATGTTAGCATACACTTAGTGCAATATAATCAAGTTCTTTATATTTAGCTCTGCATCAAATTTTATATGAGTAACAGTGCAGGACAGGCAGAAGAAACTTGACAATTTGTCAAATGTCATTTTGTCTTTTCAGATAATTCCTTTGGCTCATGTATCAAGCCGTAGCAGACAGGAGATACAATTGGTCAGCCCAAATGCTGTTGACCTCAATAAGTATCAAGAACAAGTTAGACAGGCCATTGACCAATATGATAGGTATGTATTGCTCTTGAGTGAGGACTGACAGAGCATTTTCTAATTCAAGTGAATCTTATTCATTTTATCTTTGACATCAAAAGTGCAATGAAAACAAGTGTCCACTCTGAAACAGAAATGGTCTAACAAGATATGCAATTCCTGTGAATACAAAACTTCTATTACATCACTGTCACATAACTATTGCAATAATGCACAGTCTGTTTAAATTATCTTCCCTTCACTAGCCCCCTCTGATCCTCATGGTCCCTTCTTAAAATAACAGCGCATGTTGTATGCACGATGTGTGCTATACGTGTTACTATTACAGTTACCGACAGTTAACCAGTATAGCCTTCACCTTCACCAGTAACATTCACACTGGTGCATGGATAGCCTTGCTCCAAGGCTGTGCTGAATGCTGATGTATAGTAGTTCTATCCTTTGAAGAGGCAAGTCTTGATAAGGGGACAGTACAATGATCCCAGTCTGTTATTTATAATTTTTTAGAAATTATCATTTAAGCTATTAATATTTTCCTAAGAGACTTTAATATTCACTTGTACAAGTATAGTGCATAGACAGCATATCTTTTCCCTTAAATGGTGATGAATTAAGTATTATGTCCTGAAATATTTGTTCCACGATTCCTAAATACATCAGGGATAAACATGATTGCTTATATTGCAATTATGAATCACCACATGCAGTTCAAAGCAAGGAATCAGCAGATTGTTCGTTGCAGGTTATTTTGTTGATGTTTTGTAATCAGTAATTTAAGTCTTGCAATATATGTCTGGATATAACACTTTTAAATCTGGAGTGTGTATTTTCATTGCGTCCAAATCTCTTTTGTATTATGGCTGATGAGGCTATATAAATGCGATTCAGTACAGCAGGTAGCTGTTGAGGTACACGGAACATGAAGGTCTTATAAGCCATGTGTGAATTTCATAATGCTCTTGTAGCAGTGCTATGCAGTGTTAAAGAAAGTGTATGACTATCAGTATTCACTTGCTGAGAAAGGACGTAACTGTTGGCCACTCCAAGTTAAGTGTGGATCAATCAGAATGTTACATACAACCAGGAATTTATGTCTCTGTTCAAAGAAAGATGCATAGCCATCGATCGACAGACATGGATGGAACAGGTTGGACTTTATCCTAAATGTGAATAATATTCCAGCATCAAATTATGCTTTAAATTTGAAGAATACTTATCCGTTGTTAAGGTGTCCGCATACCGTATAACACTATGTAAATTTCACTGTTTATTACTTAAAGAAGGACAAAAGTTTAACATTCCTATTCATGAGCGATTATGTCCATTATGCATCATTCCTTTGTATAGAATATGAACACCACTTTTGTATGGTTTGTCCATTTTATGATACTCTGAGAAACTCTGTTTTAAATATTACACTATCTTTCCATCAAGTTTACTCACTTATTATCTTCTACAAACATCGATGCCATTAACAGTCTTGCACGATTTGTATTTTTCTTGGCCCCTTACAGAAATGAACATCTCTCTCTGTAGCCATTTCAAATTTGTTGCAAACTTCTCAAAGTGTATAAAAACATATCCACAACCTGTTCTTTGAATAAAAAGGATTAATCTGACATTGCTTGTCTCAAAAAAGTAATCTGGTCAGGTTTGGAAAATTGTCTGTTTTTTTTAAATTCCAGAACTTTCTCGCCTCCCCTTTCTTTTTCCTCCTTCTCTCTCCATGAATTTGTCTCTTTTCTTTGTGAATTTCTTTAAATCTTGTATCTTTGTCAATCTTATTCATTCTCTCCATCTATTTTAACAGCCAATTCTGTCAGTTTCAAATTTGGCTCTCTTTCTTCTTTGAATTGAGAAATGTATCAGGCTCATCCTCGTAACTGGGATATGTATGGAACTCAGACAAGAGATGAACAGAAGTAAAGATACTGTATTAATGCTATGTTTTGAATAAATGGGTATCATGACATTTTCTACAGATTTAAATGATACTCCTGTCTCCCAACCATTAGATAACCTCTTCTGTTTCATAAGAAAATATCAGAGAAATTTGTTCTGTCACTTATTCATTGTTGACAAAGTGTTCAAACTTTGATGTCTGCTTATCCAATATGTTGATGGACTGATCTATATATCTCAATATACAGAAAATGTAAAGATATTAATTTTAACACAACCTAGGTGGCTGCTTTATTGACCAATGGGGCTGAAGAAAAAATGCTGGGCAAAATCCCACTTTTAACCTTGCATTGTAAAAGTAAGTCGTAATGATCATAATCATTCACTGTTTATTTTCAGGAGACTGAATCAAATTGCCTGGAAAGCTTTGCCAGAGAGTACCAAAGAAAAGTAAGTTTATAGGTGTCCTGAATGTGTCAAGCACCTTTTGTGTGAAACTTGTCCTCATTATTTATAGTGTTCTACTTCTCCAGACATAAAGACATACATACATGCTCTGATGTCACAAGGAGGAGTTTCTCCTCCCATACAATTTATTGATTAGTGATACATATGTAGGATGTACATAAACATTATTCATTTCTGATATTGACCTATCATCCATGTGTATTCCCACCAATGTCAATAACTTTCATTTAAAATTAAATAAAAGTTGACATAAAGTCAGTGGTGTGTTTCAACATTTACTTTTACCAAACTGAAAAATCATATGCTTGCTCTTTCCAATAGTTACACCTGAATTTGTTCAACATGCCCCAATCCATTACTGAGTCACTTTTGTTCATAACATTATGAAACTCTTTACTATGACATGGGACTTGTGTCTTGTAACTTTTTTAGTTTGATCTTTCAGTTTTTACCGAGTTGCTAAGTTCACTAATAATGGATAATTCTTATAGATCCTCATCCTCTATTATATCATTACCATTAATCCTGCATTTTGGCTACAGACACATGAAACTACTCTTTAGAATTTTCATCAAATGTTCTCTTCACAGTCAACAATGTGTGTCTAGTTGTCAAGATAATAGTATTGCCAATCAGCATGTAGCACTTCAGTGTGTCAAGGTAGGGAAAACATCTCTTCTCTCCTGTATATGCAAGGGCTAACATCAGCTTATCAACAGAGTTGTACCTCTAGCACTTAGGTTATGAAGTCACATTCTTCAATTGAGATTCAAATCTGTTCATCCTTATTTTCAACATTCAACATTTAGAGGTCCTAGTACGACATAAAGGTTGCTGATATCCTCAAAGTATGAAGGAGTTTGGTTTTGTGCAAGCCCCAAGATAGCCTCCCTTATCTCTACTCCAGCTTGTAAATAAGCAAATTCATGTTTCAGAACCCTGTTCCACAAAGTAATCCTAGAGCTAAAACAGTCTTATGATTTTGATAAAGTGTGAGAGCTAAGAACACTTCAAGGAATGTGTCCAGGAAGGCCTTCATGTTGCCTGCTGTAGAGGCAGGGAAAATCCCGGCACTGAAGAGACTCACTGCAAATTCTGTCCACATTATCCAAGTCCGCCTTCCTCAAACTGACATATTATCAAGAATACCAAGAGGCATCTAACATAATGGCAGAGAGCTAATCACGATACGGTTCCCGCAAGATGTCTCAAGACCTAAGGTAGTAACCATGTCCAAGCCGTCTCATTCAATGCACAGGCCACTTTCTGCATGTCCATGGATCCACAAATGTCCACAAGTGTCCCTGCCTGATTATCTTCTGTTAACAATGAGCATGGAGGACAAGCTTCATACAGGCAACGGTTATGTTACTGTTACACACGCTCAACATGACCTACTAATACCTAAATCATGGTGAAATGACGAAAAGTAGAGATATCAGTGAGGAATCAGACATGTCTCCACTGTGGAACTTTGATACAAGGATATCTACTAGGGAACGGATAGAACTACTTTACCTCATCTTGCTTTTAATACAGAGACACCTCACTACCCTCAGATGCCCTTTGAATATGTGAGTTCCCAGCTGTCTATTCCTTTTCTCAGAGCACATAATATCCTTCCATGGCCAAGTTATGCTCACAAGAGTGTTGACAAGAGTTATCACAACTAAGGAGGAAGCTATAGAAGACCCACAACTGCCTGTTACAAGACTCACAGCTTCTGCATCACAGATTCTGATTTGAAAACTCAACTTCCCTACATCTAAGCATAAAGAATTTTTGGATACCGGGGTGTGGTGTCTTGCCCTTGAAAACAAAATTTCAATGTTCCCTATTCCCAGTAAAGCGAAAACCAAAGTTGTGCTAGAAGTGCCGCACAAGCGAATTGCTATGGAAACATTGGATTGCCGTACTTCAGATTAGCACACGGCCCCAATACTCAATCTGTGAGCCTCTTAATTAATATGAAGTGATTAAACATTAAAAATTTTAACGGAGATTAACTGAGATTGAAATGCCCTATATAAAGAGCTCACTGTATTTTTCTTTATCAAAATGGAAAATACGCAGGTCAGGGTTATGTTTATTGACACACTGAGACTGGACCAGCACTTGTTCTATGACAAGTTTAAGCATCGGAGTAGGAAAACCCTCCGAGAAAAGAAGTATTGGAGCTGTGTAGTTGCCGGATGCAAAGCGGACTTCCCAGAATGACAACCAGTGCAATTCGAGATGGAAGTGGAGGCCTTCAAGTCCACACTAATCCCTTATGTCGACAGATCTCTGTTGTTCTCACAAGTGTGGATAATATCACAGCTCTTTTGGATGTTCAGCAAGAACATGCAGCTGAGCAAAATATTTGATGAGATGAAAAAGACATACTACAGAAAATGTTTAAGGTCAAACTATTTAGGATGAACAGGATGTTCTTAATTCAACTCTAGACTTATCTAGTGTTCCTCATACAACCATCGAAATCAGAAACCAACCAGACACGTGAGACCCCTGGGTCAGGATCAATATACCTAAGCTCTGATGTTGAACACAATATCCAGTTGGAGACAATGGCTCAACCTGGGAGACAGAGTGGTGATCATTCCCATGGTATTAGATTTTTTCTCCATTTATGTCAAAATTTACAGCTCTGCAAAGGTACCATAGAAGTGTACAGAGGTCTTATATTCTGCACTTCATTTGGATGGATTATCTGTAAAATCTGGATTGATCATCCAACTATCAATAGACTCATATGGCCTTACTTATGGAAGATATCTGAGCCCCAAGAACTGCTTGCCATGGCCATTGCCACGAGAGTGTCTGAAATAACACCAACACATGCTGAACACTGGAACATGATTATAGTCAGATCATTGCCAGAGTTTGCTGCCAGGAATCAATCCACATCTTCTGAACCAATGGGTCATAGAAAATACACAATTCCTGGCACCATCATTGGACCACCCAGATTGTTATATTAACATTAAGAACTTGATAACAGAATGACCAGAAGTGATGTCACAGTAAGAAGAGAAAAGAGGCATGAAATGTTGGTATAGGATTCGGAAATGATGTCATCTGTGATGTGATAGAAGTAAACAATAAATATCATTGTAAATACCTTTAAGGAAACTACATCTATTACATCAGAAGTACACCCTCCCACCTCCCAAATCATCAGTCTCCACTTGATGTATGTTTGGAATGGTCAAACATGGCATGAAAGAGATGTAAGCTGATAATGCTTCACTGAGAATGTCTAGTAATGTTGGGTGGTGGGGTAGCCTAGTGGTTAAAGCATTTGCTTGTCATGCCAAGGTCCTGTTTTGATTCCCTACATGGGTACAATGTGTGAAACCCATTTCAGATGTCTCCCGCCATAATATTGCTGGAATATTGGTAAAAGTGGTGTAAAACTAAACTCACTCACTCACACTCACTAGTAATGTATGGTTGACAGTAAAATAGACTTCTGTTGAAAATCTGCAATCAAGTTTTAGTGTAATTGCAGCCAATCAATGGGATTAACGGCACTGATATAACATAGGTAATATTATTCATTATTGTTTGATATTGCTTCAGTGAGTATTTAATAAATTTATTCAAATATATTTAAGATACTATGCTTCTAATCATGAAATTAGGGGAATATTTAACACTGTTCTTGAATTAAATATTAATATCTTTTTTCTAATTGACCTATCATAATGATGCCTTTCATATATTTCAGATATGAGACCAACAAACCATTCTCATTCTTTGAGAATCATGAAAGTTTGAAAACAGATTTGTCAGAAACTGACTGGCAGATGAAAGAAGACATCAGCCTGCTAGTACAGGAAATAGAAAAGGGGAAGAAGTTCTTGCAGCAAGCAAGAGATTTGAAAGAAGCTGGAGAAGTGACCCGCAGTTCGCGCCAGTCAGTGACCACTGGAAAGCAAATGCAAATGCCTCATGATACAGACAAAGAGGGCATCCTAGCTCAGATTATTGCTCCTTCTGATGTAGAGGGTGATGCCATTTGTGCATAAATGACTTCAGATGTCACTCTTGTCATTCATTATCTGCTTAGACATTTTCACAGATAGATGAAAATTCCAGACAGGGTATTTTGCCATTAGTCTGCCAAGCCAGTACTTGTTTGATACCCAATCTAAAGTTCTTCAAATAGGATTTTACTTGGAGGTTTGACATGAATAGCAGTTGCAGTTCAGGAGCCATCAATATGCAGATCATGTCATTTACACTTTTGATAAATGCTTGAATGTTTTAGATTTTGATTTTTTTAAGTGAAACTGTTTCTTTATATGGTGATACTACTTTTCAATTTATTTACAATCACTCCTAAAGTTAAAAATTAGGGTAATCAGGTATGTACTTCATTGTTGTGTTGTCTTTCAGTGTTATGCTGTAGATGATTTCTTCCAGTATGACTATTCCAATTGTAAAATTGAAAAAGAAGTTTAAGGTGGTAGAAAAACCTACTGGCATCTATAGAATAGTGGACTATGCCAGTCATCATCTGTGCTCATATACATAACAATGTTGAATGAGAAATGTTGTAATTTTCAGTATGTTATTTGTATTAGATAAAACACAAAACAATACCTGCCTCTTGATTGAATGTTATCAGCATTTCACTCAAAGATTGCACTTATTTTTAGTTCTTAACATTTCCACAAATTAACAAACATTTTACAACATTTTCTTATGCTTCATGAACCCTGATAAACTTTGTCCAACTATGCTTAATTATTTGGATCATTGAATTGTTTACCCATTTATATGTTCTGGACAATGGCCAGTTCCAGCGGGAGAAGAAATATTTTAAAGATATTTTGAAATCATAATGCCTACTGAATAGGGTGCAATAAACTGTGTGACATGAATGCTAAACTCAAGCAAATGATATCTGTCAAATAGGTCACACTTACCATTACTGTTCAAATATGACAGACTGTCATAGTTTTCATATTCCCATAAAAGTCTGTTTCACAGTCCCTAAACCTTAGAATTTACCTTTCTTGCACAACCCTTACTCTTACTAGCATGTGTGCATGCAATGGCTCTAAATGAAGGAAGTTCAAAGTTTTTACCAGTTCTGTTTTGTACATTTAACCGGAGTTTTCTGTTTCAATGATAGTTATATATTTTTGGTATAAGTCTGATTTTAGAGTCGGCGAACACTTGCAGATTATCATGAATACCTCTGTGAATTTATCAGCATGATATCGTTACAATTCTAATTATAGTTTAAAAGTTTGTGATCTAGACTACCAGTTTTGTTGAAGCCTTGAATTGCTAATGTTGTGCACTCACTGTTAAGTGCTTCACTCCGAGAGAGTGGGTTGAAATCCTGGATGGGACTCAACCCTCGATAGACATGATGTATTCACAATTTCATGTTCACGTTTTTGTCATTATTTACTATTGTAAACCAAAAGTCACTGTGTTCTTTAATCCGATTGGTTGAAAAACGTGATCAAATGGTATTCGATTCCCGGAAATTCGCTTTGTATTAATACATACAAACATCGCTCACACCATTGTATTGTTATGTCGTCAGCTGTGATGACGTCATTAAAATAATCATATTGTGACGTAAAGTCCGAATGACGTCACAAATGAGCAGTTCCAGATGCTACCATGGGAGACAGCCGAAACGGCCAGCTGATGACATTTCACTGCTGTACCCGTACTCGATGTCAATGAGTGCAGACACAAAAACGTGTGTGGACCTTTTGGTTTACATTTGTGTTTACAATGTCGATAAACATCATGTGTTGGCCAATTTCCGGGTGTTATTGAGTATTTGAAGCACGGGAATATTTCATTTTAAACCTCCGGCTGACGCCATCGGTTCCAAATGAATTCCCACGCTTCACATACTCAATAACACCCGGAAATTGGCCAACACATGATGTTTATCTCCTAATTTAAACCACAATCTCATTATAAACAATTTGAGGTGATTCTAATTAAGTGTGGCAATCACTTTGAAAAACAGTAATTCTCTATCTAGTCTGTCTTATTATTGTCAGTAACCAGCATCCCTCTCAGTGAGAAAATAATTAGTACTGAAAGTCTGTTTACATGTATTTGATGTAGACTCGGTACTCATTCATCAACATATACCACTACAGCAAATGTTATGAAATGTTCTTTCCAAAAAGGTACATGGTATCATTAATGTTTGTAGAACTTCAAAGATGTAACAAAGAAAAGGTCTATTTTAAAATTATAAATTATTATTTCAAATTATTGGTTATCTGTGTGAATATGAGACACTGTAGAATCTTCACATTTAGCTTTATTTGTTGACCAGTGAACATTCATATTACTAGTCATCCCCTGCAGTATTCTGGAATGTGACTGGCCTGGGTGGGCATATTATTAGTCTAAAGTCAGGAGTGTCAGTCATACTCTTTCAGTTCCTTGCACTGTTGACCCGGAACTTTGTGTGTGAAACACTTATTATAATATGTTGACTCGATAGCATGACAGGACCAAACAGGAGAAAGTAATGCCAACAAGGCCGATTGATACACCACGATAATTTCACCCAGAAATCAACAAGGAGCAAAAGTGTTCAGTAAAATTGACCATTTACAACTTTTGTGTACATGTGTTTACTTGTTAAAGTTGAGAGGTATGTGGAAACAACTATGAATAATGTTGCAATCAATAAATCAGAGGTTTCCAAAAGTGTTATTTTTGCACCGTATATACATGATTGAATATGTGGAAGATAGTTTTATGCTCTCCTGACTGAAAGTCAACTGGGCTTATTGCATGACCTGTTTGATTGGAATCCAGTTTGCATCATCACTCGTCTGTTGTTAACATCTCCTTGACCAATGAAGTTGAAACTTTGCATTGTTCATATGCATGTCCATGTTTCTAACAGTGGCATTTAATATGTGGATTCTGGGGTTTATGACTTTATCCAGTGTCTTTCATTTGACTTGTGCACTTCAGTCATTAAGTCCAATACTTTTGGCCATTACTCAGCCAATGTTTGCAAAATGGAATGGGATTTGGTTATATGTGTACTTTGTTGTGTGTCTCAAACAGATGGTGTGTTTTTATATTTTGAAATTTTGAATTTTCATCTCAATTCAGCAGAAATTTGACATTAAAGTATCTCCTTATGAAATGACATCACCATAGGGCTTTTTTCTGAAACCAATTATTCCCCTTAGAAGATGTTGAAGGCTCAGAGTTGAAACTATATATTTTAAATTTTAAAGTAATTTCAACAGTTGCATATCATATGTAAAATTAATTCATATTGTTGGAACCCTGCTTACCCAAACCACAGATATTCAGAAACCTTGCCCAGTAGACAATATTTACAAGGAATGAAATGTATGCCACTTGAAATACTTCACTTATCCCAAATCTGATTTCCAGATTCGGGACAGCGAATTTAAATAATCATAAATGTGTTTATGTCATGTTATTAGCCATATTGGTAATGAAAATGTTCATTGTATATCTTCATGTAATCTCTAATCTGTTTTAGCAGTTTTATTCAAAATTTCATTCAATATTGTTCACAATAATCTCATTGAAAGTGCGAGTGCTTGCACCAACTCACTGTTTGTCTTATGGATTTGGCTTTGTGTTTTTTCATTTACACCTACCATGATCCGTTAACTGCTATTGATGTCTTGAACTAAATTATACATGCCATACTTTGATTTGTCACAGGTCATATTTGTTGTAGTGTGAATATTACCGGACTGTTCAGTACATACAAAATATCCATTAGTAGCAGTCTGTTTTACCAAAGTGCTTTGCTTACGCTCATTACTTTGTAATATAGTACCTCAGCTAAAACAGCACAATATTGGAATGTATCAATACTGATATGATCATTGTTTCAAATACAGTTTATTCCATCCATTGCATCCAAATTATAATTAAGTTGTATTGTTGTTGAGTTTTTAACTGAAGCACAGGCAGATTTGAATAAAACTGTTTCTGGATTAGTGTATGAGAATATACACACTGTAAACTGTATGCACCCTGCACAACAAGTAATGCCCAGTAGAAAGGAAATACAATTAAATAACAAATCATAATGGCTAACACTATTGTATCTCATATGCCACATTTGTATTGACTGAGTTTGTGTCACCTGTTCAGTCTTGAAAAGTCTTATACATTACATAATTGAAAGGAGTTTTGCCCATGTAGAATTTGGTTACAGGAGGTAACTGAGGACAGTTGACACTAGATGCAGATATCCAGAAATTTGTTTATCTGGACAAAATTAGAGAAAATGCAAATATCCATATGATCTCTTTGATACATATCCAGGTGAGGTAAAGTGCTATGACACTGATATTTTATATTGCCATTGTGTCACCTTTTGACTGCATGTTATTTACACAGATGTATCCTTTTGTTGTGCACATTAGTTGCTTAAATTAAGTGAGAGGAACTGCAATGCAGCTTTGTTAAAGAGGGTCAGCACTTGTGTTAAATCAAAATGAAGACAAGCATTATTCACAATTTCATATCTACATATTACGGTTTAAGAAAAGTAAAGCTATACAATGAAGTAGTTTACAGTATCATGTAATAGTTGCTTTGTTTCATGTTTTTTCTCTGCAGCAGAGTGATTATTTGGTTCTATAATTGATACAATGATGGGAATCATTTGGTAGAAAGAAATTTACTGATATTTTTATCACTATGTTGTGTTTTAGTATGTTAATTGCCCTTAGCTTTAATAAAACAGCTTCTTGATGAATTAATGGTTTCTTTATAATGGTTTGTAATTCGTTGTTTGTTCTACAGTGAGTGAGTGAACTATCACCTTTGAGGTATTTAACTGATGCTATGTGAATGTGGTCTGATGTGGTATCTGCAAAGTAATACCTGATTACATCGTGCTTTGATCAGCTTGGAGAGATTTCTCCTGACTATGATTTTTCTCTTATGACTACAACCAATGTCATACACTTGGATGCAGAGGGTTTTTTCTGACACATTTTTTCAGGTCTGAAAATTGAACATTGTGCGTTGTGCCCTGGATCTACTGATGGCTATAAAATTCTACCAAAATGCAGAATATTAAATTTCCTATTCAATGGTTTTAGTTCAACTGCAAACACTAAGTTCAACTGCAAACATATTCTCCAGAAAGTACTTGGTGGGTTCGACAAGGCAGCTTTTCCTGGGAGGAGTCCCATTCGCTGTCTGGGCTGCGTGTAGAGGGGCAAGGGCCCTGAGCTGATGATGAGCCTTACCAGCCTGACTGTGCCAGGATCACCTGAACCCTCTCTGCTGCAAACTATTTTTAATCTGTAAATTAATAATAAAGTCACTTATAGAGTGCAAATGTCCTCACACTTATTAATACTCGCTGAAAAGAATAGAGTAAAAGGAGTCAGTCATAGGCACAGTGAACAGGTGGGTTTCACGTTTTGACTTGAAGGTTGAGAGAGATTCACAGATCTTGATTTTTAGAGGTAAAGCATTTCAAACAGTTGGTGCAGCATAGGAGAAGGATCTTTTCCCATCAGAAACAATGTGGAATTTGCGAACAGTTGAAAGTGATGCAGAGAATTTTAAAGTTGATTCTCTGTTGAATAGGTAGCCAGTGTTAAGATTTCAGAACAGGAGAGATGTGATTAGATTTAGTCTTTAGAGAAATAATTATTGCAGGTGTATTCTGTACTTTCTGTAGCCTGGAGATATTCTGTTTGCTGAGGCAAATCAGCAGTTCATCGCAGTAGTCTAGTCTAGATAGTCATCTGACTAGGATGTGGGCACATTCTGCTGTGATGTACTTCCTGATGTTGCTATGGATCGGAGATGAAAGTAACATCACTTCCATATTCTACTGATTTGCTCCTGTAGTGAAAGGTCTGGTTCGACCCAAACTCCGAGGCCTATCACAAGTCTGGATGGTGACACTTTTGCTGAACCAATGGTGACTTCATTCCTGAGATCAGTCAGGAGATGTTTTCTGCCAACAAGTAGAACCTCTGTTTTTCATCATTAAGCTTTAATGTTTGGCCGTTCAGCCATGATTTTTATTCCCAGTTCTAGTTGAAGGCTTGTGATTGTAACGCGGGTGAGAAATGGTTCAAGAGTTGAGAGTCTTCTGCATACGAGTAGATTGAGATTTTGAAGCAGTCGATGACAAATTGAAGCTGGTTTGTGTTGAAGAGAAAGAGGACTGGACCTATGAATCTTTGCGCGACTATTATCAGAGTACTTGCCTTATGTTCAGATGTTATGATATGACTAAAACATTACACCATTTTTGTCAATAAGTTAGTGTAGTTGATGTATCTTTTCGGAAAAAGATTACATTGATTTTTGTTACTGGTACATTGCTTGCCTAATTTCTGGTATTTGCATGAAACCATCTCGGTTTGTCAGTCAGAGATTGACACTCCATTAGACAAAATAAATAAATTCCATGACCAAGACAATTCCTTGAAAAATGTGTCCATATTGATAAAAAAAAAAATATCCATAATTTGCATTAATCAATATTGTAAGCGTTACTAATAAGA